AAATTATTTCAAATTTATTTTATCCCAATTTATTTCAAATATAATAAGACAAAGATAAAATTATCCGCAACATTTATAACATAAATTTGAATTATTTCATCACAGTCACACGACAAATACCGTTTTTTTTTTTTACATAACTTGCAGTTATATAAAAAACTTGAGCTATATAATTAAGTTACTATATAACTAAAGTAATCTCCAACTGCTAGGTCAGATCGTTACGAGACAGCTTATTTCATATTATTTTATTTCAGTTTCTGGTTCCACTAATCTATTAAGACATCAGAGCAAAAATGATGAATTGAAAATAATTTCCTGTCATGCACAGATTTTCAATAAAACTTAAAAACAAAAGAAAAAAAAACTATTTAGACAAGGATGAACTGCAAAAAATCCTAAGATGTAAAAAAAAAAAAATAAGAAAAATTATTAGCCAAATACAATAGAACTTAGAAAGTAGCAAGAGGCACAATAACAAACTCGTTTGAAACTGCTACTAACTATAAAATATTAAAGTACGACCAGTATAGACAAACTTACACTTAATCCGTAATGATATAGAAACAAAACTAGTAATTCTAAAATTGACAAATAAGAAAGATTACTAATTGAAAGATGAACATAACTGTTTGCTTATGAGTTTAACGGATTTCCAAGATCCAAACGAGAAATTATTTCATTAACTAACACTTTAATATTTATCTTGAACAATATCGCTAAGCAAGCAATCATTCATCGTCATCATCACTATCATCATCAGCATCATCATCTTCTTCTTCAACACCTGAAAAAAGGCCTCTTTATAAGAAATTATTTTGCATTTATTATGCATTCTGCTGTTCCATTTTTTCTCCTACACAAATATTAAAATCATACCTTCAAATAAACGATTATAACAGCTTCCTGGACCAGATATATTGAAATGACTGTACGGATCATTCTTATCTAATACAGTACCGCAAAGCCAACAAAAAGAACGCCCACATTTTATGCATGTCATTTTATTGCAACCACTGTTCTTCTGAAAAAAAAAAAAAAAAACTAAGTCTAGAATAATATAGAGTACTGAGAACAAGAATTATGCTACTACAGGTATTAGGTAAGCAAAATCATTGAGAATAATTCGGTATTGGTACCACTGGAGGATTTAATCATGTGACAAGATAAGAAGTTGTATCGTCTAGTTGCTTATTTTTTGATATCTAAATACATCCACAAATATAAAACAACACATTTCAATTTTCTCCAGTCAATCTCGCTTACTTATAACGCCTACAAGCTAAAAAAATATATGAAAGCGTCGTAGCATGTTAATCCCTTTAATGATTTCAAAAAAGAAGTTTATGGAAAAATAATCACTTCAATTTTGGCATGGCATGAAGGACAAGCCTTACTGTTGCACTTTATCCACTCTTCATTTTTCAAAACTTGAAGCAATTGCTCAACCTGTTTTTTGCCACCAAATCTTTTATAGATTTCTTCGAGTTGAGCAGGCGTCGCAACTGCTACTTGACTAAGTATCTTCCTCTTTGATTCTAAAAGTCAAATAAAAGGTATTCAATAACACATAGATGTAAAATGAGAGTAAATGATGTCTAAGAAAGATTAACATTGCTTGAAAAATAATCAACTTAATGTTTACCTTCACTTAAAGAGCACAATTCTATACCATGGTATGATTTCTTGCACAATATACAAAAAGAATAGTGACATAGTGAGCAACTTGCTAAGCTAAAAAAAAATTAAAATTAACTTCTAAAACGGTGAAAAATATCGCATACGAACAATGTATCTCTCTCAATAACAATAAAAAATGATGATACTACTAAATATATCTTAGTTTCACTCAATAAAAAAATTTTTTTTTCACTCAATAAATCATTTCCTTACCTAAGTACTACGAATCAAACTGTTCAAAAACAAGTTAGAGGAAAAAGATTTTAACTTTAGTAAGTGTCTCAACTTCGACTTCAGTAAGTACGAGTAAAAAATCGAGCATAATTGAAAATTCTCTGCTTAAATCGAGCATAATTGAAAATTCATAAGCAATGGTATACCTAGAATTTTCACCATCGTCAACAATAACGGGAGCTTGGCACGATATTCTCGGACATATAACTACATCGGACATTAAATCTAATGCCACTTCCAGTAAACGTTGTTCATAAATTTCAAATTCTTTATCAGTTAACACTTGTCGAATTTGTGTTTGAGTTGCATAACTGTCGCACCCACTATTTAGACACTGTAACTGTTGAATCTGGAAAAAAAGAAATGGTAGAGGTTTCGTTGACCAATATGTATTTTTAATTACATCTTTTATATTTTCTAGTAAAAGAAACAGAGAAACAGTTCTGCAAGAGAGTTTAACCTTCTAGCTCATGAAAATTATGACAGTCTGCCGAAAAGTTTGACAGCAATGATAAGTCCAGATATATATCTCAATATTGCTGCTTAACTACTTAATTTAACGTAGCTTGAATGCACTAAGCAAAGGCAGTAACAATAATATACCGAATTATCGTGTAGTTTTTGGCGATAGTAGTCTGAAGTGCACTCCATGCAAAAAACATGACCACATGGCATAAATCTAATACATTCCTTACCACTTTTCAAACTAAAGCACACCTGAAACGCATAGCTGATGTACTACAGTTTTAATTAGTAATTGCAATAATTGAAAATAAAATTGCTATTCGAATAAATAAATATGTTAAGTTCAAATGAACGTAATCCTTGCCTCAGCTCCTTTAATCTATTTTTAAAATGAATGTGCTAACACCATATGTTAATAATTTGGAGTTTAGAAAATAAATATGCCTCAGTTCTCTTTTTTTCTTGCATGTAAGATAATACGAGGAAATGCGAGAAAATTTTTGGATAAATTTATCACAGTTAACTTCCTAGATGATTTTTACTAACTAAAAAACATCATGAATATTTCCAGGGCAATAATGATAAGTCAGATCCTTTAAAAGATGTCCTGCAATAATCAAAATATTCGAAGGGACAACCTCACAATCATACCACTCATTCTCGAAATCATTTTGTATCGACTGATCATTAAATTCAATAAACGTTTTCAGAAGTTCAGCAGATGCCTTTCCAAACTGAAAATTATAAAAATTATCCAATACACATTTACAAAACATATTAGTGATGAAGGATACGGATGACAGCAAAAGTAAAAGCTTACTGCTTCATTTTCGTCCTCCTCTAAAACAATTTTATTTAAATCAACATTCTTTTGAGATAAAACAATCTGCATAGCTTCTTCCTTTAACAACTCAATCCATGTAAACAAAATAGGCATGCCAAGATAATTGGTCCAAGAATTAATCAGAATTTCTCTCAGCCGTTGTCTCTAAAAACCAAAATTTGTCAATCTGTGGACAGCACTTATTCCGATAAAAAATTATGAGTAATCATTTGATATAAATCCTTAGAATTTAAATAACAATTAAAAAACATGACCAGATAGTTAAATAAAGTTATATAATAATTAAAAGTTAGCAAAATTAATGAATATCTACAATCAGAGAATGTTATAAAGGACATACCGTAGCTGAATCAAGCCAACTTGCATGAAGGGAAAATAAAGGCATAGAATGTGATGGATAATCCTGAGGAAATGTAAAAAATAGCAATAAAGGTGGAAGATAATAAACATGAATAATTTTCCCATCTAAAAGAAAAAAAAATCGCTGCAAATACCAACGGAATAAATGCAAAAATAAGTTGGCCATTCAAAGAAATATATTCAAACCTGCATGGACAGCAATACCATCATCTATTTTTGGTAAGACAACAGTTATGCGGCCTTTAATTTGTGAATCATTATCTATCCTGTATGAGAACCATTCCGGTGTTCCAGAATATATACTTTCTAATGCTTGAATTTCATTCAGCTGATCCTAAAATAACTCAACAATCTAAAAACATTAATTATCATTTCAGATGTACCAGTCGATGCAAGGACAGAAAATTTCAAAAAGAACCTTGCGATCAGTATCATCCACAACAGCCATGTTTATGATTTTATTGCTCAATGCTGTCGATATGCTACAAAAGAAAAATCAACTGTGCATTGAAATAAATCCATTACACTGCTATCATATTTAGCTTATAATTAACATTATCGAAGATAATAGAAAATTACTTAGTATAATTTACCATTCTATGACTGAAGAATAATTTTTACAGACTTAAAAAAATTCAGAAATTAATATTCCCTATATAATATCTAGCATGCTAAAATATACAATTATGTAATTAACTAAACACATTTATATAAAATTGGCCAATCAAAATGAAATATGTGATCCATTATTTTCACAGTCTGTCGTATGTGATAATGATGTAACATACGTGCAACGACAATGCAACACCTATTTCTGGGGTAATTAGGATCTTACTCATTAGAAGATTATTTTTAGTGATAGTGTTGCTTTACATATATTAGTAGTTGAAGAATTTATGAGAGATATAAAGTTAATGGAAAACATAAATTGTCAGAAGTAATTGGTAGTATGAGGAAAAATATGTAAATTTAGAGATATCTATGATAATTAAAATAGAGTATAAAAAATTGATTTTTTTTTTTTTTTTGCATAATTGTAAAGAGCAAATTGTGGTAGTCGTCAATTTAACTCATTGGTAATTGCAAATTTGATTCATTATTCGATTTTTCTAATGAATTGATTCCATTTTTTGTGCATTTTTTGTTTCTCTATATCATTGAAAAACTGAACCTTTTGACATAATTTGAAAAATATCATGTTATAATTGAAATGAAGGAAAAAGAATTTGAGGACAATTTGATTGAAATTTGAAACTGATTTCTATGGTTATCGCAAAAGTAAAAGCAGAAAAAAAAGGAAACGAAAGCAAAAATAAAAATAGAACAAGAAATTCTACTCGAGCACTTTATTGCAGTGTTGTGACACATTACTGAAAATACTCCCAAGGATTTCTATTAAAAAAGAAATGCGTATTGAATGTTAGGCAATTATTTCAGGCAATTCAAAATCACCGGCACCATGCCGAAAAATCGGAGGGAACGGGAAGCTGATAAAATTGATCGGGTCCGGTATGTTGTTGCCTGCATTATCCAAAGAATTCCAAGAAATAGCTGGGCAATCCCTGAGTATGACTGTAATTGTCAACATTTAGGTATTACCGGTGGTATAAAGATGTTAATCTGGAAGTTTACTTATCTTCAACATGGTCACAAATATTTGCAATCATTTCGATTATTTCGTGAGATAAAATTGTTCACCTGGATGAAAACGACATTATCATTGGAATAGTTTGTGTACGGCCTTATTTTTCACATGTTTCGTTAGGTCTTTTTATGTGTTTCATTTTAGCAACAACTGAGAAGACATACCTATGCATTGACTAGCGAATCTTAATTATAGAAGTTTTGTCAAAAGGTGGTTATCGGAAAATAAATGATAATATTTAGAACACGCAGTACAGATAATTATAAATTTGGTAAAAGATTTTGGAGTAATCAGTCATTCGTACATTTTTTCCAGTATAAATATACGCTGAGAATATCATTCAAAATTCACCACTTTCACTCCTGTTCACGTATATATGAATTTAGCATAACTTCGTTTTATTTCTGCTAATATGCAGGAATGTGAGCAAAGATTGCTGCTAGTTGTTTCGGTGATCTTTTAAGCATTGCTCCAACATTCGTTTTGTTTACAGAGATCACGTGATCATTTCATTCGTTTTGATTGGCCGAGAAACGTGTTTCGAGTGTTTGATGATGCCACTGATTCGTTGTTTATATCTCTTCGACTCAGGTTGACAACATATTTCGATGTCTGTGCTCTGTTATCTTTCGAGAAGCATTGATAATATTCATTGATATTTCATAACTATAAAAATCTATCTACCTTTCCATCTTCATGTTTATGACTATATCTGAATATTTTTCAATTATACTGACATTATTAATCTTTAAATGTTCGATAGTATTTGCATTCTCTTGTAGCATTAGAAATCTTTACACATATTTTTGCATACTGTAAAAGGTAGGGAGAGTTATATCACTCAGCTAACCTCGTAAATCAATGAAAAGTATAATTTTCATAAGTCGTATATTAAAATTTCTGTGGTAGCAAACGTACGAAATCATGCATATCAAAGGTGAAAGTGATTTTTGAATGATATTCTCACGCGTATTCATTTTCAGCTAGGTATTTTTCACCGTTGATAATGTTGATTCAAAATTTAATAGTCGGAATGTATACATCATTATATACTTGTTTATTTTTGCTAACATTTTGATAGTATCTTTTATGTTTGATAGCTTGCTTAATTATTTTTTCTCGAACCGAAATATTTACCTTTCTTTTCATTTTTCTATTGGTATCAATGGTTGATATCAAAAACTGTTCATCTTAGAAATATTCTTTGGTCTCACTGGCACATACCATTAACTGTTCTAGTGTTTTACACCTTCATTTTTCAAACTGGTGTTTTTTTAGGATTTTTTCTGTACTTCTTTTCTATATTAACCGATTAGAAAACGAGCTGAAACGGACTTTTTTATAATTCAGAACAGTCTAATTGCTCCTAACTTTGTTCATCAATTATTCGGTTAACTTTTACTAATTGCAGCTGAATCTACTGCTAGTTTGGAATTAGTCCATGAGGAAATATTCGGAACAACCTTACTTAATTAACGTTTTAAGCTCTTTTTGTATGGTATATCTCTATCGAATATCCGATAATTTCGAACAGGCGAACTGTGGAAGTAATAGTACGTTTTTTTTTTTTTTTTTTTTTTGTTTTTTTTTTTTCTCATTCCATCCCTGTACTTGTAATCACTGGAAATTTGTTTGAGCAATAACAAAATGGATCGCTACGTTATTGTGTAAGAATGATCAGTTGTAGATAATCATTCATTTAAACAGCTTGATTCTTCTATTTTTGCTACATGGTTAATTTTTGGTAAACGTTTAATGAAATACAGTTGAGATTTTAGAATTATCTCCTTGATTTATATTTATTCTCAGGTAGAATTAATGTGTATCGATTTTCTGGAAATACGCCATAGTTATTTCTATTAAAGTAAATGTTAGCGAAGATTAGTTTGAGTATGAAATTTTGTTTTGATTTACGAATAGGATCATTAGCGAGATATAGTTGGGATCTCGTAGTTCTTAAACTTTGATTTAATCATTCGTTGTACACACTGATTTTGAATAACTTTAATCAGCATTTGTTTTCTTTTAAAATGCTTTAACTAAGAAGTCTCATTTAATCATAATATGTTTATACATTGTACTTGTTTTGTTTCATCATTCCTTATTCGCTTTTCCTTCTTATTTCACTTATTTCTCCCCATGTATCTAGAAAAGCTATTCAATTTCAGTTTATTGGAACTATTCAGTTGGTTAGATGTGAATCGTTGAGCGACATAAAGGCAAGAAATAATAATTGGTGCAAAGAGGTGTAAAATAAGAAAAGTTGGTGCTGTAATAATAGCTGGAAAAAAATAACGCTGTTGTTAAATACTTTTGCAACTTACTACGACGAGAAAAACTATGGATTCGAAGGATAAGGTGAACTCAGCGACAATTCCAAATGTTGTAAAGTTTGCATTTGGTGGGACTGCAGGGTTGGTAATTCTTCTAAATGAAATTATTTCTTTTGGTAATTCTTCTAAATGAAATTATTTCTTATTGTTTACATATCTTTATTTTTTTGTGCAGACTCAAGAAAGATCAAAAAGTCAGTAACTGTGCCGTAAACAAACAATAAGATTTTGCAGAACAAATTCCGTTGAGTAATGGTGATCTGATCTTTCAGGATGGGTGCTACTTTGTTAGTGCAACCGTTGGATTTGTTAAAAAATCGTATGCAGCTTAGTGGAGTAGCTGGTAAAAAAGAATCCCGTTCAAGTTTACACGTTCTAAGGAGTATCATAACAAATGAGGGTTTTTTCGCAATCTATAGTGGCCTCTCTGCTGGTCTTCTACGTCAGGCTACTTATACGACAACTCGTCTTGGCATCTATACCTGGCTCTTTGAGCAATTTACGAAGTTGGTTTCCTTTTAATGAGACGAAATAAAAGTGATTTATTTCGATACGTTTCTGTGTTCGCTTTGAATTGGAAGGGTTGATTCTTTGTTTCTTGAAACATTAAGCAATAATTTTCACTAAGTGTGTAATGCTTCTCCATTCGATATTACTTTTCCAAGTATCATTCACAAATCCTGGACTCTATAATCAGCTCACTTATGAAATTCCTAAATTGATTTAAAATAATTTGAAGAGACGGAACAACAACTAGTTTTGCAACAAAGGCTGTTATTGGTTTAACTGCTGGTGCTACTGGATCATTTGTTGGTACTCCTGCAGAAGTAGCACTTATTCGAATGTGCACCGATGGACGGTAAATCTTTATATGACAAAATAGAATTATTAGATTATAGTATAAAAAGCATAGTCATACTATTATAATCGAATCTAGATAACCAAAAAATTACTATCATTCCAGGTGATGTAGTTTTTGTAACAAATACCTTTTCGATTTGTTTTGAACTTCCAGCAGAAATATCCTCTCATATTTCACAATGTCTAATCACTATGTCATCACGATAATTTATTTTTAGACTTCCGCCAGAACAACGGCGACAATATAAAAATGTTTTGGATGCTTTGGTGCGTGTTGTCCGAGAAGAAGGAGTTTCTACGTTATGGAGGGTAAGTATATGCAATTCATATATGTTATTTGTGGAGCTTCACTTTTCTCATAAAGTGGAAGTAAATTCTTTTATTGAATTTGCGTTTATAGGGATGTGGGCCAACTGTTCTTCGAGCAATGACTGTAAATGCAGCACAACTAGCAACTTATTCACAAAGTAAGGAAGCATTGTTATCAAGTAAACTCTTCAAAGAAGGAATGATGTTGCAATTTGCGGCTTCAATGATAAGTGGTCTTGCAACAACTTTAGCTTCTATGCCAATTGATATTGTTAAAACAAGGTTAGTCGGTTTATTTACTCGAAAATTCGGATTTGTCCAAACGTTTAAGATGTTGATTACTGATTTTCATACGAATTCGATCATCATTTGAGCAGATATTATCGATTTAACCCTGATCGTTAAAGTAAGACTAAGACTCGCGTTCATAAATTTATTTACGATATTAACGGAAATGGAAATAGAATGATTTTTGATTTAATACTGGTAGCAAGCTTATTGATGAAAAGTTTTTCAGAGTGCAGAATATGCGTATGATACATGGAAAACCAGAATACAGCGGTATGTTGGATGTATGGTCTAAAATTATAAGTAATGAGGGATTTTTCTCGTTGTGGAAAGGTTTTACACCTTATTACTTTCGTATGGGTCCACACACTATGCTAACATTTATCATACTTGAGCAACTCAATGCGGCTTATTTCAAGTATATTTTAGGCATAGAGCAAACCCGTAGTACTCTTTAAATAAATGAGAAAACGTAAATAAATAAATAACAGATGTAGTTTGTGACATGTTGATGCTGTTGATCAGTAGTTTATCAAAAGAAAGCCGTTGCAATTGGTCTATCGAACTGTTGCCCTCACTTCATAATTTATAGAATCTAGCTAAAATTCTTGTATTATCGGCTGAATCATTTACAGTGGAATCCGATCTGTGTAAATTTCGCACTGATTTAGCAAAACACTATTTTTCTGTATGATCGGTTGCTCCTAGTGTTACCTACACTTTATGTTAAAGTGACAGTTCTTTTTAAGAATTCTTGGAAGAACGGTTTACTTTTTTTTCTTTGAGTTTTTTTTTTTTTAGATTCCATTCCTAGTTTATTCCTACCTGGTAAATGGTAATTCTGCTGGTTTCATTGATATTATCCGGTGAACAATAAAAATTGCTTATTTAATTATTTAAATGTGTTATCAGGGTTTCATTCATTTTTGTTCTTTTCACTTACGTGTTTAAAACCATATTTTATATAGTATTTTGCATGCAATATTGTGAGCACTAAATTTACAATGTATTTTACTTTGATGTTTTGAAAAACTCTTTACTTTCTTTGCTTTATCCTTATCTTTAGTTGTTTCGCTGAATGCAAATACAAGGTGTTATCATACGGTTATAGACTCCCGTTGCTGTTATTATTATAGCGTGATTTTCTTTTATTACCGATTAAAAGCATATTGTTTTTTGGATCAATATAAATTGTTCAGAAAAAAATTAGAATTAAAGTAACAGGGTTACTCGAATGAGAATAATTGTGGCTAGGATTTCTGTTTCACATATATTCTGGGAATGTTTTTTGGCAATTTTTGCTTCTTTTTTTACAATATCTATGTTACTGTTGTTGTTTCTTGTGTAGTATTGTTGTTTATGGATTTTATGAAGATAAGCATAAATTCTATCTTAATATTCCACTAGTAAGGCATTATTACACTTTCAGCTAATAAAGAGAATTGCATGACATCATAATTAGATGGTAATAAGATAGAGAGAGTGGAAGATGTTCTTTATTATTTTTAAAAAATAATAAAAATTCAAAAACACGTTTAATCGTGGATCATTTTTTAAAATTTCCATATCTTAATACTGGTAAAGTTTGCAGTCCATTAGATATTACCTTAACAAGTTTTAAGGTAAGTGAAAGGAAGAGTTGTTTTTAAATACGGTCCATATAATATTAACAGTGATAAATGGCAAAATCTGGTTTACATATTATCAGAATTATGGTAAAATCGTATCATAAAAGTGATTTGTTCGTCTTTTTTAGAGCAAATCTATAGATGTGACTGAATTAGTATTATTGGCAAAAATTAGCGAACAGAAAGAATAAAAATGAAAAATGTAATTGATGTAAGATTGAAAGGAACAAAAAGATTGGATACTATTTGATGATGCTTTCAATGCAATTAACAAATATTCTAATTAGATGTTTGTTTACTGTTCAATAATACATAATGTATTCTTAATATATGTTAACTGGTATAAATAACTTGCAGATAACTGAAGAGAATAATGCTATCTATATACAAGCCTCAAGTAGTTAATATTTGTGAGATGATTGTTCGGAAAAAGATGCTAAAAAAGTGGAAACAAATCAGTCAATTCACAGCAGGTTCATTAAACATTTACTTAAATTATTCATATTATTCCTGCCCAATGAACTTTTTTTGACTTGTTTAATGTTACTAAAATTTCATGTAATTAATTGAATAAAAGATTAGTACACAAATTAGACATTCGATAACTCTGTAAAGAGAGCAAAAAAAATCTACAAGTGTAATTATTTCAGGAAATCAAAAGACAAACATCATTTCTTAATTTGGATAATAAAAAAAGAAAAACAAATAAGAATTATTAGATAATTTTTCTTTTTTGTAACTAAAAAGAAAAACAAAATAAGCAAATAAAATTCACTAAATATTATGCCAACTGTTAACGAAAGAGGATTACTGTACTTATTTGACATACGTTTCGTGTTTACGATTTATACGTGTCTGAAATTAACACGTTACGTAAGCGTGTCATGTATAATTAAAATTTAAATTACACATACAGATGGATTTTGTAATATTGTAATAAGTTAATGAGTAATGTATGAAATATCATTAATAACTTTACATTATTATACGTAAGATCTGACTGTTTTTTTTTTTTTGTTTTTGTTTTTTTGAATTTTTTTCCCCTTTCACTGTTAATATTTTTATGCTTTTACAATTATTTTATTTAATTCTTGGTGCTTTAATATTTTGTTTGGCATTATTTTGATATGAGCTGCACTCATAACTGTTATTTCTATATTGTCAAACATAGAAAGTGAGCTGTAGCATTATTTTTATTAGTGTTACATTTAAATCGGTATAGCGACGAAAACAATCATTTTTATTAATCCAATTATAGATTTCGAAAAAACTAATGTTTTGAGACTTTAGAGTTTGTAATTCAAAACTTTTTTTTTTAATATTTGTCTAAAAAACAGTGTAAGAAGTGCTTAAATTTCAGAATTATCACTAGCTCAGTTATATATATATATATACATCATTCATAAATTATTTAGGCATGGCATCAAGAACTGCTATGGTTATACTTGCTGAGGGGGCCGAGGAAATGGAAACTGTTATTCCCGTTGACGTTTTGAGACGAGCTGGAGTTGAGGTTTCAGGCGATATTCATATTTATTTTAATCAAAATTAAATTCGATTTTTCGTTACGTAACCAATTATACGACTCAGTTTTACACGTTAGAGATACAGTTGATGTAACTAATGTAGTTTTATATGTTAAACTGAGTTGTAGTTTGTGTCAAATGCGTTTTTTTGGTGTCGTACGTACCGCGAAAAATTACTGCCTTAGTCTGTTCAACTTTATTTTACCTAAATTATCCAATTTTTTGTGTTGATGTGAATAGAATTTTATAGGTTACTATTGCTGGTCTTCTCGGTAAAAATACAGTGAAATGTTCGAGGCAAGTGATGATTACGCCTGATAAAGCTTTATTCGAAGTGGCAGATAACAAATTTGATGTTGTGATTTTGCCAGGTGGCTTACAAGGAGCAAATTCCCTTGCAGCAGTAAGTTTGCGTTATTTTATACTTTCTCTCATTTATAATTTCGACATTATTCTTTTATAATTCGAAGCTTAAGGTATTTTGATAATATTTTACATGCCGATCTGAGCAAATGAGAGCAACCCGTTTATATATTCATTTCCCTCTGATCGTAATAGTTTAAAATTTTTATGGCACTGACATTTTTTGCACAATCTGTCGTTTATCAGGAATCAATAAGACTACGTCAGAATGCATTATTAGTAAATTTTTATTTACTATCATCTTTTATTCGAAGTGTTCGTTGGTTGGTTTTTGTTGCGCCTTGATGTTAACAAATGCAAACAATCTTATTTTCAGTCAGACGAAGTGGGCACTATACTTCGAACTCAGTACGAAAGTGGTCGTTACATAGCTGCGATATGTGCTGCACCGATTGCCCTAAAAAGTCACGGTATTGCCCCAGGGATATTGCTGACATCACACCCAAGTGTTAAACCAAAACTTGTGGAAGGAGGTAGGTTAATTCAATAGGAAATAATCTTGTGATTACATTGTTCCACCTTATATACTTTTCAAAAGTCTCTTGTATGCATTTTTTTTTTTGTTTAAATGCTACTGTATTTAAATACAGTAGCATTTACTAGCGTTTAGCCAGAGTTACACTGGAGAATGGCCTTCTTCTTTCTATTTTTCAAGTAAATTCTTCTTGCTCAATTTCAGGATACAAATATTCTGAAGATCGTGTGGTTACAACAGATCATATAGTCACTAGCCGTGGCCCAGGAACTGCATTAGAGTTTGCATTAAAATTGGTCGAGTTACTTGTTGGAACGGAAAAAGTGAAGGAAGTTAGCGTTCCAATGATTGTGAAGGAATAATCTTCAGGCGATTAAAAAAAAAATAATGAACTGTCCAATCTTCTATGCTTTTATTGGTATTTTCTAGAACTCTAACTTATGTTATCCTTGGAACGAAATAGTTTTACGTTTTACGTCTTATGAGTCTCCCTCTTTCATGTATAATTATTTCGGCCTTTGCTATCAACATGTATACATGTCGAATGACTGGAAAGTAATTCATTTTAATTTTGTTCAATACATGAGGTCTTTGGTATTTGTTTGTGGCATATTCTTACTTTTTCGTGAATCTTTTCAGGTAGGTAGGTTGTTAATTTGATAAATGAAATGCTGTACAGTGTCGCTCAAATCCATTCAATCAAATTCATTCTTTTGCAATTTTTCCTTTTCGTTGAAAGTCTTTTTTTAGGAAGACAGATGGATCAGAAGAAAAGACACTAGCTCAAAACGAAAACGAACATATCTGTTCACACTAGCTCTTCGTAATTTCTTGACTACTTAACGCAGAATTTTCCTAATTTAATTAGTCTTTACATTCTTTTAGTAAGAGAAATTTTCTGAAGGTTAATAACAAACAATTTTTTGGGATGTTTTAGAGATTTTTCCTACAATAATTTACAAAGCATAATACAGCGTTAATGTAAAGCCGGGAATGTATATTTTATAATCATCCTACGTTATCTGCCGATAGCATTTCGCGCTCCCGTTCTACCAAAAAAATTCCCAATGAGGCTTAAGAAATCGCCACCAGGTACGATTACAGTACCAGGTACTATCACTGAAAATAGAACCTTTTAAGATATCGTTTGGGAAAAATGCATTCAAATCAGAGGAATTACAACTAGACTTTAATTTATACCGGATGGTTGTCTTGTTGTCGTTGGTGATGGAGGTAACTCAACACATCGTTGTTTCTCTTGTTTAAAGCCACACTTACACTGACATCGACCCCTAAAACTTGAAGAAATATCATGAAGGTCATACAAAAATGCATTTATTTTTTATTAAACCCTTGCTCTTATTTTTGAATTTGAAATTTTAATATTCTCCATTTTAGTGTTGCTGTAAAAAACTTACCTATAACATCCGGAATTTATTGGGCATTGTTTTTGGATGAAACAATGACCTTGAAGTGCTACTGGCTTTAGGCAGGTTGTATCTCTGGAAAGTGCCTCAGATTCACAGTCTCGTGTACAGGTTTGACTTGGATTACGCAATGGATGCGTTACTGGATCGACAAGTGGATGAAATCCAGCTAAGCATTCACATTGTCCCTAAACAAAAAAAAAATATTTCTTACGGAAATGTCATTAGATATTAATAAATTCATGAAATATTCGTTTTTTTCTTTTAAATTCTCAGAAGGATAACTTTCTTTTTTCGATTCTCTTTCTTTACAAACAAATTTTCAATCGATCTGTCAACTTACTCTATTGCATATCATACCTTCACCACCACCACATTGTTCATTTGCAGTACATTGTGAGTTAAGTTGCCCGCGTGCCATGCATGTACCATTAATATACAATGCTTTAGGTGCCATAGCATTACATGGCCGACGACAGCATAATGATTGGGAAAATCCACCATCTAAAATCCACAATAATTCATTTTATTCTAAAGTTTTTAAATTTTAGAATAAAACTAATGGATAAATTATGCTTTGTTTTTTTATCATTTTGTGAAATTATTTCTTCATTAATTGAAGACATTATATATATATATAAGATAACATTAAGATTAGTTATTAAGGATAATCTAAAAAGATTTTCAAATATTCAATAAAAGTAAGTTAGATATTTGATGTAGAATAATAAGATAACATAAAATGTAACATGAAATAAAACAAAAATACCTGAAATACGATGGCAAAAATGTGTATCAGATGGACAACGAATATTTGAAGTAGGATCACAAGAATAATTATATTCTGGTAATGTTCCAAGTGGACATACTTTTGGACAACAATGTCCCATTGGTGATTCACCAATAGTTACACATATCTAAAAATGTTTCTATCAAATAATTACATCCTATTATTATCATTTTTTTTTTTTTTTTTTTTTGTCCATTTGATAATAATTTATACTGGGAGTAATTTTATCCAATAATCATACTTTTAAGTTAATATAAAGAATTGAAAATTAAATCATAAAAAAGAAAAATAAAATAGCCACATAAAAGTGAAATTTATTTACCTGTCCAGGTGGACAATCATCAGCCCCATCGACAAAATTTTCTACCATATGTTGATTTGCTTTACGAATGCATGCATTACCAGGAATACCTGCAATTTTGCATGTTATAAAAATATTTCATAAAATATTAGTAATTAATTATAAAATAAAAGAAAATTACCACCAAGTGGACAAGCTGATTTTGCTATACATTGTGAGCCTTGCTGTATGGTACCACTAATGCATACACATTGCGAATTCAAGCATGCCGAAAAAGGTGCAGAACAGTCGTAATGTCGCGTGCAACGATCACCCACTCGGCTCACTTAATCATAGATTCATTATAAGTATGATAATTATAATTGTAATAATCAATAATCAATTAATTAGAATAATAAATTAGAATTATAATTGGAATAATAATTAATTAGAATGATAAGATAGCATACAGAAATTAATTTCACTCTTAAAAGCCATATTACAAAGATGAAATTGTTTGAAATGATTTAAATAATAATATAATAAAAATTTTTTTTAAAAAAAAAAATTTTAAATACTTGCATACATATATTATCATATATAATTTGTATTCAAGTAATTCATTCAAAGGAGAATATATGTTTGGAATATTGAAATATATTGAAATAATCGTATGTAATGTAAAAATTATTTAAAATTATTAAAAATTATTATTTACATAAAAAAAAAATTATTTATGAAATATTACTTATCATTTATAGCATGTATATTTATACCAAAAAATATATAAGTATATACTATATGCATATTGCAAGTGATTACCATATCAAATTAATGTGTGCAAACTAGTTAATTAATTAATTAACTAATTAAACCAAAACTGATGACATTACTAAATAATAACTTATAGCAATCTATTGATAAGTAATTTAAACGTATGAATACAGTAAATTTCACGTAACGTATAGACATACTTGATATGCATTGACCATTAACTAATGTTGTTCAGTAAATTTCACGTAAATCAATACAGTATATTTTACGTAACGTATAGACATACTTGATATGCATTGACCATTAATTAATGTTGTTCAGTAAATTTCACGTAAATCAATACAGTAAATTTTACGTAACGTATAGACATACTCGATATGCATTGACCATTAACTAATGTTGTTCAGTAAATTTCACGTAACGTATAGACATACTTAATATGCATTGACCATTAATTAATGTTGTCCAGTAAAATTCACGTAAATCAATACAGTAAATTTCACGTAACGTATAGACATACTCGATATGCATTGACCATTAACTAATGTTGTTCAGTAAATTTCACGTAACGTATAGACATACTTAATATGCATTGACCATTAATTAATGTTGTCCAGTAAAATTCACGTAAATCAATACAGTAAATTTCACGTAACGTATAGACATACTTGATATGCATTGACCATTAATTAATGTTGTTGTACCACGTTGAACACATTGACATTGTCCACTACGGCAAAATAATGGCTCACGACATTTAGTGGTACACATTTGGCCAACTTTTGCTGGTACTAAAATTATTTACTTTGCTTTTTTTTTTTTAATTTCAAAATTTAAAATAAAAATAATGTTACATTTGAATACATATATCTATTATTATTGTTTATATATTTGGATTAAACCTTTAATAAATATTAGCATAAAATAGAATTCAATTAATTATAATTAAATTAAAATATAGCAAAAAAAAAAAAAAAGATAGAAAAGAGAAACTTACATCGTTTACAATATGGATTACCACCTCTTTTCTCATCTATAATTTCAGTATAATGTGGATGACATCTACAACGTCCTCGTAAACATATTGATCCTTTATTCTCGCAATCAATATTCCAATCACATGTGCCACCAAGTGGTGATTTTCCTTTAAAAAAAAAAATTATTTATTTTTTTAATATTTTCATCATAACATATATTATCATACTTTTCAAATATATCATATAAAATCATTTTTATCAAAATATTATCATTCAAATGTAATAAAAGTAAAGTGATAATGCATATGATAAAAATGATAAATAAAATTTGAACTAAAATTTGTTATAAATCAAATTAAACATACCATTACATGGAGTAAAGTTAGAATAAACATGTTTAATGAATAGAAATAACCATAAATGTCGTATCATTTCGTTCTGATACATTACAATCATTCAGTCATAGCGTTATTCTCGATGAAATTTCATTTCATTTACATCTCATCACATTTCTTCATGTTTGTAAATCCGGTTTTTCGAACAAGATCGAAAATTTTCACACCATTTTAATCTTTTCTATCTCTTCAATTCTATTTTTCTATCCTATCTATCGATCTATCGATTAAATCAATTTATCATGAAATGAATTAATGATTATTATCTTCTCATTTCTCATTTATAACATCAAAATTCTAAAAAACAAATTTCACCCAATTATATTTATTCTGTTTTTTTCTTTTCATTTAACATTTCTTTTAGATAAATTTGTTAAATTATCATTGAATAGTTTTGTTTTTTTTTTATGGACAAAGAGAGAGAAATGATTTATCATATTGTTATCATCATATTATCTTCCAGCAATGTTAGTATAGTGATAATTTTAAGAAAATTTTTGATACACATTTTTTGATAACATATAGCAAATTTTTAAATATAAAGTAACAAAAAGAAAAAATTTTTTTTAATTTTTTAAATATTAAAATATTATTAATACATTCAAAAACTCTTCTATATAATATATATAAAAAAAACCTTTGAAAAGTAAAAATATTAAATAATAGTTGCAACAAGATAATTAATACTATAAAAGTTATAACTATGTATAATTAATTTATAGTATTCGTGAAGTATCCGTATTTCTATAATTGGAATTGATCAATTTACTCAATTATACATTTAATTGAATTGATTCATCCCATCTATGATTTCATTCTTTTTCTTGAAATTAAGATAAGTTTAACTAAGTGTTTTTTTCTCATTCTTCCTTTCAATTTTTATATAAGTTATCATTTTTAATTTAAATTTTTAATTTATTTTATTTCATACATAAATGGATGAATATTTTACAGAAATAAGTTTAGCTGTTATGTAATGATGGTGTATGGTTTGATTACTTTTGAACACTTCTATATTTGGTATTTTATTAATAAGTTTTTAACTTATTCTTTCTTCCATTATCCCTTTACTATTGTTAATGTTGTAATAAGAATTAATAGTTATTTTAAATGAAAAAAATTATTAGGAAATCACATCACTACCAGATTTTAACATCATTGGTATTTTAAAATAATCATAAAATAATTCAAGAAATTTATAAACTTCATTCCCATCATATCTTTCTTCCCAAATAATCTTTCCTAATTAAAAATATTGCTTTTGTCGAAATAACGAAATTTCATTCAACCACTTATCAAATCAAATAAAAAAAAGTACTTCCTCCACTCTACCACAATTTAACTAGCGATTGACAGCCTAACTTTATCCTCGAAATGTTTTATTTCATTAGTGATATCGAACTAAAAGATTTAACTAAAAAAATTTTTACTTAGCTAAAAATTCTATACTAATCTTGTCAATGCTTTAACTACTAATTGTTAACAAATTATTCTAACTATCAGATAAATACATAAAAAGTTATGAATTACACCACTTTGTCTGCTATGAATAGTAAGATAAATGATAAGTAGAATTACTCTAAAGTAGTAAACTATGTATAATTCTAGTACACATACTATTCGCGAAACATCTTAGCACCTTTGTCTAACTTTCGACTTGATACAAATGCAAAACACAAAAGTTTAAAAGAAATTTGTACTTTAAATGGATTTTGACAAAAAAAAAAAAACGATTAAGTATAACACAAATATAACTCTGGGCAGCTTTGTACTTACTTATATTGTTTACATTCATTTCATCAAAAAAACAGAAAATGATATTGGGATGATTTGAATAAATTTAGGTATATCCTGTAGATTTGAAGAGGGAGAGAGGATAGGAGGAGAAAAGAAAGAGAAAACAGATGGAATGCAGTGAATACTTGGCAAAGGCAAACCCAGAGTTTTCAAAATTTGAGAATCCTTAACATTAAATCTTAAATTCTATAAAAAAGAAAACAAAACCATTTCAAAAAATTACAGGCAGAATTAACATTATGAGACGAATAAATTGGAGAAAAAAAAAAACAACATAACTCTTCCTTCTCACCGGTATAAAATTCGCTCAAATTTATTCACGAATCAAAAAGATATTTCTATAAATGGTATTACAAGTACAAATTCCACTTAATTTAAATGCTGAATTTTTCACAAAATTTGCACAAATTCTAACATCAAACAACTAAAATCAATTTCCCCAATAATTGAGCTGAAATTAATGATTCAGTGCGCAGAATCAGAAACCAATAGAAAAAATTTTTAATAAATCTGGCAGCGGTAATTAATGACAGAGTTGCATGAATTTCCCATTCAATTTAATATTCCGGTTCAACCTGATTATTATATATATCACTGCCACTCTCATCGTATTCATCATCATCCTCAATGGTAGCATCCTGGTATTGCTGATATTCCGACACGAGATCATTCAAATTGCTTTCTGCCTCAGTAAATTCCATCTCATCCATCCCTTCGCCAGTGTACCAATGAAGAAAAGCCTTACGACGGAACATTGCTATAAATTATATTTCATTTAGTGCATTTAATATGTTCAGATAATGTGATGTGATAGTAGTTTAAAAACAATACCAGTAAACTGTTCCGAGACACGTTTAAAAAGCTCCATGATAGCTGTCGAATTACCAATAAAAGTAGCACTCATTTTTAAGCCGCGTGGTGGAATATCACAAACAGCTGTTTTAACATTGTTTGGAATCCACTCCACGAAATACGATGAATTCTTATCCTGTACATTGAACATCTGATTGTCCACTTCCTAAAATTCATGTTGTATCCAAAGAATCCATGGAATTTTAAAAGAAGAAAACGTTTTCAAACAAAACAAAAAAAAACATCATCAAATGAACAGTGCTGAACTTAAAAAAAAAGATGCAGAATTATCTATAAAAACACATACGCTCATCGACATCGAGCCACGGAACATAACCGCCACCGTAAGATAACGGCCATGTCGTGGATCGCATGCTGCCATCATGTTCTTTGCATCGAAAACCTAAAATGTATTAATCATAACTATGAACAAAGAAGAGAGAAGAACCAGTGAATAAACTTGAATGAAACCTAAAAATGTGTTCAAATATATATATATATATGATATAATCAAATTGAAAACTAACCTGCTGTGTGAGTTCAGCAACGGTCAGAGCGCGATAGGCAGCTGAATTGAGTGCAAAAAGTGGTGCAAATCCCGGTATGAAGAAATGGAGACGTGGAAACGGAATCATATTCACCGCCAATTTACGGAGGTCAGCATTAAGTTGGCCAGGAAAACGAAGACAAGTTGTTACTCCAGACATTGTCATTGAGACTAAATGATAACAAATTGTATCATAAAAGCCATGAAATCCTTATTATGAAACAAATTTAACTGCACAGTGTGCGAATAAAAACTCAGATCTAAATGTTCATATAACATACCCAAATGATTGAGATTGTTATAGTTGGGATCTGATAACTTCAAAGTTCGGAAGCAAATATCATACAATGCCTCATTGTCGATACAGAATGTCTCATCTGTATTTTCAACTAATTGATGAACTGATAGAGTAGCATTGTATGGTTCCAGTACAACATCCGAAACCTGAAGATCTCATGCATTTTTTTAAAAGAACCTTTTGAAACAAAATTACATAAAGTCATTCGATCCACCCAATCCCAAATTGTTCAATATTTCTTTTCAGAACACATTAATTTTTAATTAATTAAAGGCCGAACTACAGGTAGCATAATTATTCATCAAATATGCCATAATTTTTCATGAAACAGCCACACATAAACAAAATTGTTAAGAAAACCTTTGGTGATGGAACGACTGAAAATGTACTCATGATACGGTCCGGATATTCTTCACGAATTTTTGAAATCATTAGCGTACCCATGCCTGAGCCTGTACCGCCTCCCAACGAATGAGTGAGTTGAAAACCCTGAAAACAAGTATTTTCTTTGTTTAATTAACAGCAAAATGAAAAAAAAAAAAAAAAACAAACAAAGTTTGAGAGTGAAAGTATGTCTAACCTGCAAGCAGTCGCATCCTTCAACTTCTTTTCTGACGACATCCAGAACGCTGTCAACTAGTTCTGCTCCTTCTGTATAATGTCCTTTGGCCCAGTTGTTACCAGCACCACTTTGACCAAAAACAAAATTATCGGGACGAAAGAGCTTCCCGTACGGACTGTTGCGAACTGAATCCATTGTACCGGGTTCTAGATCAACCAGAACAGTGCGAGGGACGTAACGACCATCTGATGAAAAATAAACGAAATAACTAGACTAGTTTTGCTAAACATGAAACTTCCAAAAAATTGAAAAAGTTATCCACTACCTCGATTTTTGACCTCGCTGAAACACTATCACAATTATTCAAACTGAAAAATGTAAAACTAACTGCTTGCTTCATTGTAGTAAACATTAATACGCTCGCGTTGCAAATCCGATTCACCATGATATGTGCCATCTGGTTTTATACCATGTTCATCCGAAATCACCTCCCAAAACTATAAACTACCACGTAAATTGTGTTGTAAATAAGGCTTCCTAAGTAATTAATATTATGCAAAAATATTTATGTATGCGACCAATTAAGTCTGCCATTTATGCTAATATAATCTGTTCTTGTTCAGTTTGATCATATAAGCTTTATGTTTGTTCTCTAATAATGTGCAATATTTGCTCATCGTTTTATATAAAAATACAAATAGATATAAAAGTGTATGAGAAATCCTGGAAACCTTTGTGCCAATTTGATTACCACATTGGCCAGCCTGAATTTGAAGAATTTCTCGCATTGTTGTCAGCTAATTTCTACCACTTTTGATCGCTCACCAAAATACTCTGTCAACCTTCCTTTTTATCACGAAAATTAATCCGCTAGCTAACAGTGATAACCAGACGATAACTTCTGGAAAGAACGAACTATGCTGTAAGGAGAGCATTCGCAAATTGTCATATGATAAAATGTAAAGTAATGCTCATTCATTTTCATTGCTATCACAACCAATAATTATTCCTTCCACCAATATTTTATTCATAAATGACAAAAAATCCCTTCATTTCATAATTATCAATTACTCAAATTATATACCTGTCAATAGCAATATAAGGACAAAAATAATAACATAAATAAAAATAGATCTCTGTTTTAAAAAAAAAAAAAAAAATACGCCGATAACAACCAACTGACAGTAAGTTGAAAGCAAAAGAATAAAGCAACCGCACAGATATCAAATAGTCACAAACTAACTGACTGCCAGTCTAATTTCTCTCTTAAATACTATTCATTCCTTCATTTATGCAAATTTTTTCAAGATAAATCAACGAATAAGAATAATGCAAACACATTCTAATTGTAACACTCAGAATTCATATCAAGAACCACACTCTCTGGATCACTTTGAAAACTATCCCACTAATTTTCAAGACTTTATCTTAGTATTTAATTAACATATCGCAACTGGAAGACTGAATAATTGATTAAATGAATTATTCGCTCAATCAACTCAATGACTAATTTACAAATTAATTAACTGGATGACTCTTATGACAAGTTACATCGAAAAACTACTAAATTAAGAATTGATTCATGGAATGAATAAATGAGTGACCAATAGAGTAACTTATGAAAGCTATTTTGATTATGATAATCATTTAGAAATTGTTCCATTGTAAAAAGCCCAAATGTAAAATGTAAATTATCTAAGAATTAAATTTCTTATGCTTTCTTATAATCTCAAATTCTAACTTCTCCATTAAAGCAATAATGAAAAATCAGCTCAATTATTGAAATCAAACTCAAATCGTGAAAAAAACACTCATTCATCGGAATCAATCAATAATTCATTATATTAAGCTATGTCGATGCAAATAAAACCAATATAATAACAATCCTATAGTAAGAAAAAGAAAAAAAAAGTGAGAAGTTCATCGTAGGATATTGTCAATTAGGATAATAACAGATTATTATTGATAATATTAGAAATGTTAGTAATATTTTAATTAAAAAATCAAAAAGTTTCATTTGTAAACATTTCTAAAAATATGACATTGATAGATGAAATTATACTTTGTTTGCATTCAAATAATTAAATAAATTTAAGTAATAATTTGTTGCAGTCAATTAATAATAAATTGCTCAATTAATTGATAAAAATTATAAAAAACAAATTGAGAAAGAGAGAAAAACAGTAAAATATGAAAATGTTACAAAAAAATTACTTTTTAAACATTAACAATAAGGCTAATGTCTTCATTCCCCAATAATTACACTAAATACATTTTCCCACACTCAGAGGCACTCATTTATTAAATTCAAATTTATTACATTATATAGGCCTGTGGGTATTTGATGGTTCGGGCCCGATGAATAAATTATATTAAAGTGTGAAATATGGTTTAACGAATTAGAAATGAGGGGGGTTGTCTTATTATTCTTTTTTTTTTTTTTTTTTTTTTAACGGTTGTAAGGGGTTTTTTCTTTTTTTAAATTATTCTTTACTTGTGAAATTATTACTGATATCATTTTATGCTAATAAGTACATTATATAGGCCTGTGGCTAATTTAGTTTTATATATTTTGCTAACAGTTTAATAATTATTAGTGATTAAGAAATAGAAAATTTTTGGTTATTTTATTCATAACATTAGATTTAAAGCATTGTTTATTGCTTTACATCAATGCTTTACAAGCAATTTTGTTGAATAATTTAAACAATTTTTTCCGTTTTTGTTTGCTTAACTGTACTAATTTTCGCCAATTTAGGAATCGACCAAATTTTTGCTGTCTTAGGAATCGGCCAATATGGGTGGTCGGCAGTCATCACAGGTGTCACATGAAGTTGCTCAATCAGAAGTAATACTTTTCGTTTTTTTGCATGTCTAACTATATCTCAAATTTTTCGCAAATTTCAGGTTTCTAAATTCAATTGTCCATACCAATCGGCTAAGGATCAGTCTGCTGACGCAAAAGAAAAAAATATGATTAAATCAATGGCATCCGAATGTCCAAAGTATCAAGATAGGGAAAAGACTGATGGACAAGGTGGATGTACTTCAGGATCTGAATTTAATGAGTTAAATGCTGTAAGTTGTTAATGAAACAATTCGTGCATTTATATTCACTTGCTTTAAAAAAAGTGAATGTATTTAATATTTGCAATTTTTTTTTTTTTTTGTTGCAGATGCCTCCACCTAATCAAAAACCTGCTCCTGGCCAACCGTTTCCATTAAGTACCGAACGACAACGATCTACGATTCCGAAAGCTACAGAGGATGGTTATTGGGAATATCCGTCAGAACAAATGTTTTGGAATGCTATGTTAAGAAAGGGTATTGTTGGTTTATAAATTCATTAATGAATTACCTATTAGAATATCTTTCATCGATGATTATAGGATGGCAATGGCGAGATGACCAGATTAGTGCAAAAGATATGAACAAAATTATCAAAATCCACAACGCAAATAATGAGGAAGTATGGCGTGAAATTTTGAAGTGGGAAATGCTTCTACATCCGTAAGTTTCTGCTGATATTTTATCACCTTCATTTTCGTAAAATTTTTTTTAGTTTTTTTTTTTTTTTTTTTTTTTTGCTACTGCAAAAGGATTTGCTGTGTCTCAATTCTACTTCCAAAACTGAAGCAGTAAACCGCAAAAAAAAAGTTACAGTGAATGCAATTGTCCAAAGTTGAAAAATTTCCATGGCAATGCACAAAAGATTTCTCCACGAGCTCGAGTGAGACAGTTGTTGGGGTTTGTTCTGTTTTTAATGTTTTTGAGAGCTTTTCGTTTGCCATTGACTATTCACGAATAATTTTTTCCACCAATTTATAATTTCTGTGAAAGCAAATTCATCTGTAAGGATCTTTTTCAGATACGGTTTACCTTTTGATCGGCACGACTGGACAGTAGATCGGTGTGGGCAAAAAGATGTTTGTTTTTCTCTTTTTTTTTTTTTTTTGGTTTTATAAGAAAGCAAAATTGAAATTATTCGTGTATAGTAAGTTAATAGCGTTTAAGGAATAATTTTCGAACGGAATGGCAAAGGAAAGAGAATGATGGCTATTCCATTCTTACTGTGATGCAGAAGAATAATTTCTCTAAGCACTTTTTTAGTTGATTTTAGTTGAGCTACCAAAAATAGTGTTTTTTTAATTTTTTAAAAACGTATCTTTTCAATTCATAAGATTCTTTAATTAGGTTATTCAGTAAGAAGGGAATCCATTTTAGGTTCATTATATAATCGATTTTTATGATGGTGGTGCAGTTGATCCAAAATCGAAGTTATTCACTATATTAGATGTTCGTCCAGCGCTCACAGATGTCGGAAATGTGTGGGATCGGATGGTTGTTGCTTATTGGCGTTTCAAATTTGAAACACTGGGCCTTACTCCAAAATTGCCTTTGTACGAGAAAAAGCAGAACCCATAATACTTCCACCTTCCACATGGCTTTTCTAAACAATGTTAAGGTTTTAGAGTTCTAAAATTGTGACGCACTCATTCAAAAAAAAGTTTTATTTCATTCAAGAGGTTTTATTCATTTTTAAGCTTTAAGGCATTACGAGGGTTTATTATTCAAAGTAAGAAAAGTTTCTCCTTACACGTGATAATAGTTAGGTCTTTATGCGAATTCTTTCTATTAACTTGGTTGATATAATTTATATTAGGGATGTCTTTATATGTATTGAACAGTAAATTAAGTAGTATGAAAAAAAATTGTCGCAAAGATTAGGAAGGTATTAGTTGTGCAGGTACATCTTATTTAATGAAAGCATTTTTTTGATTATTTGATGTGCTGTTATAGGTTAGTTAACTATGTGTTAATTTTATTTTAGTCTTTTCTCTGTATCCCAATTTATTTTCCACGCTTACTACTTTTCAGGCGCAATATTTAATATTAACATACCTCGTTGTTGATTTGGAATATTTCAAATATGCTTCTTCTTTAAAATTGATTTGATGTGAATGTAGCCGTCCTAGTCCAATCATGTTGCTTCGCATTGTTGCATATTTAAATTAGTTGCTTAAATGGAATTGGTTAATAATATTCAATCTTTCATTTTAATCTTTTTTTTAAATACCTTCTTTCGTTTATTATGGTTTTACCAAATGGAACAATTTTTCAAAACTTATTGCTTAACCACCTGTTGTGTTATTAATGTTGTTAATCATTAATTTATAGTCACCGACAGATTAGACAAAAGCTTTAACAGTCATTGTTGTCTTGATAGTTCTTTAGGTAGCTCAGAAGAAATAAATTATGCCGTAATTAATATTTGGAATATATAGCTTATTATATATATGTCAACTGTGTCGTTATGACATAACAAAATAATACGATGTTTTCATTGCAGTGAATTTTGGTATTATCGTGCGTTATCTCTCTCAAGTTTATGAAATAGATTTTATTCATGAATCAGTTCTTTTTTGGCAAATATTGAGCAGTTAAAATAACCGTGTATACGGTTCTCTGCTATTTTGCATACGTAAGAAATATATTTTCTTTGTGCATTTTATCAAATTAAAATTTTATTTCATATGAGGTAAGAATAATTTATTACTACTAGTAAATACAACAATTTTGTTGCATTATTAAAACATATATATTTCAGCAATGTCGCTATTGAATCGCCTTTTGGCAAGTCGTCGAGCATGCGGTAACATTACAAAGAAGTCATCATTTTTTACTGGTTCGGCATTCAATAATAATATAAAGGAATCGTTTGCTTTCTTCAAAATTCCACGGATGTTAGTTATTTTTGATTAACTTACTTTGTGATAACAGATGATATTTCGAGATTATGCTTTATTGTGTTGTTTCAGAACGAATGCTATAAAAAGGCGTATGGTACTTGGAGTATCGCTATCACATCAATTAGCACCAGCACAGCGCCGAACAATCGGAGTGTGGTTGTTAGGATGTGCCGGAATGGTTTACGGGCAGTTGCTTTGGGAGGTGTCACAAGGCATGATTTAAATTTTTAATCCAGTCTCTTTATCTATTTGATTAATGCAAAATTTTAGTTAGCTGGTAGATCATTTAGTAATTTTCTTCCTAAATGATCAAATTTCTATTTTTAGATTGACAGAATCGGGTTTAAGTATGGTCAATTGGGATTTGTTTCGTACGATGAAGCCACCATGGAGTAAGGATGAATGGGAAACCGAATTTGAACGTTACAAGCAATTTCCAGAATATAAATTGTATGTTCCATATTATTCATAAGCAACTCAGTAATTTTTTGTAAAATGAAATTCCTGCAATCCTTTTTTGATGGATAGTAGTTTGTTCATAGAAAAATTAATGACTGTACAATTTCTGTAGCAAAAGTGGTAATGACGAGATGACATTGGCAGAATTCAAATTTATTTGGATGATGGAATACATTCATCGAATGTGGGGACGGACACTGGGTATCTTTTTTCTAGTTCCTTGTGCATTTTTCTGGGCAAAAGGTCATTTCTCTTCTGCAATGAAAAAAAGAATGTTCATTGCTGGTACTCTGATTTGCATGCAGGCAAGTTATTTTATTCATATTGAGATGATTTATTTAGTCTTAACAATTGGAATTTCTCTTATAGAAAGTTAATTTTACAGCGTCTCATTGTCTGTGCTTTTTTCAGGGACTTATTGGTTGGTGGATGGTGAAGTCAGGATTGGATCCGAAGAACAATTCTAACAAAGAAATACCTCGTGTTTCGGAATATCGTTTAGCCACTCATCTGACAATGGCTTTTGTTTTATACACAGTGTTTTTGTGGACCGGTCTTTCACATATTTTTACAGCTCATGACGTACGTTTTTTTTTTCTTCTCTTTTTCTGAAATTTATTTCAAATGTTTATGCGATTAAAGCTTTTGATTGATTTGGATTTGATTTTATGAGTTACCTCACGACATGTGTGATTTAAGCAGGCAGATAGCTTTTTTGCTTTTTTTGGCTATTCAATCTTATGTATAGCGAAATTTTTTTGAATGCTTTATTAAAAGGAAAGTTAGGGAAAAGACTTTGTGACTAATTGTTTAATTTTGCCCTCTCTCTCTTTCCCAAAAAAAAAAAAAAGTTGTAAAATTTTTTAAAGTCTATTAACGTGAGCTAAGAGGTAAGTTAATCTAGTCTACTACTACATCCTTAGTACCAAATATCTCAGGGAGCTTCATTTTTTTTTAATAACTGACTAAGACACCTGCCTAAAATTGAAATATTTTTTAGGGACGAATCTTAAGTTTTGTTGATGGAAAGCCGACGCCTGCTTTTTTGATGAATTTTGTAATTTTGTGGCATATATAATTAATGAAGATTTTTCAGCACACAAATGTTAACAAAATTGGACGATTACGTGGTATGACACATCTTTCGAAAACGATGATAGTTTTGACTGCAGTAATGGGTTAATTTTGTTTATTCTTAAACAAGCAAGAAAAATATTATGAAAGTTTTTTGTTATACTGTTCACCGTTATACTGTTTCATTGCATTTAGTACCCACTGTTTCAAATTCGCTGAACTACTTATTTTTATATTACATTTTAATTATAGGCGCTTTTGTTGCTGGCTTGGATGCTGGATTGGTTTACAATTCATGGCCGAAATATGCCGGACGTTGGCTTCCAGAAGATTTATGGCTTAAAAACCCAAAATGGTGTAACATTTTTGAAAATCCGGCAACTGCCCAGTTTATGCATCGAAATATGGTTAATTTTTTACATTTCTTGTGATTTCAATTTGAGGTGTTTTTCCTATTCTCAACAAATATTCATTAAGAAGATTTAATACGTTTTTTATGGTAGCAAACTTTTTATACTTTTAAAACGAATCTGTTATTTTATTATTTACTGGAAATTGCTTTTTGGTAGTAACTTTTTATTTACAGGCTTACTTAACACTGCTTTCGGTAACACTCACATGGATTTTTGGACGCCGTATGCTTCTTGGTCGACGTGCCAAAATTGCATTGCATTCATTGATGGGTGCGGTATACTTGCAGGCTCTTCTAGGAATAGCTACTTTGGTATAATGCATTAAATTATTCAAATTTTTTATTTGGTCTTATTTGCATTCCAAAAAATTCCCTCTTTTATATTTTTAAGTATTTTGATGCAAATAGTACAGATGTTAAGTTTATTTTACTCTCCAAAAAATCTGAAAAAAGTTTTACGTTATTGTAAACGAAGTCGTCAGATCTGGTATATCAGTTTTTATGATTCGCTGGATGGTTTCTGAAAATATGACCAGCTATGGAATACAGTACTTATTGTTATTCCAATTTTATATTAGTGTGTAATACTATAACGGAATTCCAAATTCCAGGTGCACTATGTACCGGTTTATTTGGGTGTCATGCATCAGAACTTATCAATGGCTGTGATAACATCTGCTTTTTGGCTTTCAAATGAAATCCGTCGTGTTCCAAAGTAAATACCGTATGATTATTACGGTGGTAAATATCTTCCACTCAAAAGTGAAGGACCACTTGCAGATGTAAAAATGGATCTTCAAAAATGATCGAATAGACTGGAATTGTTAGCTGTTTTTATTAATAATAAATGAATCAAGTTTTCACGGTTCTTCAACCGCATGCAATCTTTCCCTTCTGAAGTTATTTGTTCATAATTGTATATTTTATGTTGTTATACTGATATTATTTGTTATAGTTACGAAATATTTTTGCTTTCATATCTGACGTCATTCCTAGTTGTTTTATCAATAAAATTTGTTTTATAATAAACTTTTTCTAGCTTTCTACTTATGCGTCTAAATAAAATGAAGGGATTATCTGAATCGCTCAAATGTCTTCTCTTGGAAAGGGATTCAAATTGTCAATTCTTCCTGAAAACAAAAGATGGGCATTGGTATTTAATTTTTTTGGTCTTTAGCAATGTCTCTTGGAACAATTTTCCCTACATTATAAACGTTATTAGGATGTACCGTACTGTCTTGCTGGGTAATTTTTCAATTATGAATCCATTTATTAGTTGAAAATCCTCTTGTGATATTTGATGAGGTTGAAATAAATGAAATTCTTCATATCACTAAAAGATTAGAAAAAAACCAGGTCCCGTTTTTCTAATCCCAGTCGTTAATTACAACATAATGCACACAATATTAACTTTTTATTTATTTGTCCTTCCGTTAGAACATGGATAACCAATGGACTTCTTCCTCGCTTTATAAATTGAGCTAAAGTAATTATTGGTGCTTTTTTAATTATTTGTATTATTATGTGTCATATTTGGCATATTTGGGCCATATCCAATATGACACTAGCAGGGATATTTTAATAAATTCGAATAGCTAAGAGAAATTATAAAAATATCCTTTGCCTACTTCCGATATAATCTCAGAGCGCTTTTTTTTTCTTATGAGTAATTTTTTTTCACCTCAGTTGCTGAGAATATAATATTTCGAATATTTTTTATTTCCACCAAGTTGTCATTAATTATTCCACAAATTGTTCTTCAGAAAACAATCAGCAGCAAAGAATCGTTCAAATTCTTTGTTGTTGTTTAGTTATTTAAATAATCTAGACAAATTTTTGTGAATGATCCATCAAAAACATAAGTTTTCACGAAAGCTGGAGAAATTGTTTGATAGAGATCGATTGATCTACTTGAATTACTTTTTAATAAGATCTTATTCAAGATTATCACTTAATACTTCGTTCATTCTTGATTCCAACAAAACATACTAATTTATAGAAGTACTTATTAATGATAAATTTTGTAGATAATCGACAGTGATTGATATAAATTATCTATGTTTTGATAGTCTATTAGGATAAAGATTATCTAAATAGTATTAATCTATTAGCTAAAAAATAAAGCTATCAGAGGAGGGAAAAAAAAAATTCAAATAATGATAGGAGATAGGAAGAAAGAGATCAAATCTGTTTCACTCCATTATTCCAAATAATCGAATTCTCGTCATTCATTCAATATATCCATTTTATGATCACACATATCTGATACAAATTTTCCTCTTTTTATCAAATTGAATTTTTTTTTTTCACTTTATTAAAATATTATTTTGGTACAAACTTTCATTCACATTATTAAAGTTATGTTGTTGTAATTTATTAAGTTAAATAATGAACAGTACCCATAAATTGCTAATTCTTAGTTGAACATTGGCTCGATTACAATCAATCAATCTCGAACAATCAACAATATTGGCTAAGCCAAGAAAACAAATCCAGTAGAAAGAAATGATTAAATGGCAAATGAATAATGAAAGTGAAACTGAAGTGACTAATTTTTTTTTTTTTTTTCATTCCATAATATTTCAATTGTATTTCACTCTTTTAGCTTCAAATTTTTTTTAAATCTTTCAAAAATTTTTTTTCAGCAAATGTCAGATTTAAAGCAATGGACAACTATTTCATCTGGTGCTTCCTTATCAAAGATATTTATTGGACGAATGATAAAAAGCCGTGAAATAGGTAAACGTGTAAGGTCAATAAGTCATCACGCATCGCTTATGCCAAATACATCCAGTGCTTCGGAAAAGCCAACAAGTTATCAGGCATCTCCGTCAAATACATCCAATGCTTTTACACAGAATGAGAAAGCTAGTCTCGCCAATAGGTTAGTAGCTAATTTAAATTTTAATTAAAGTAATCGTATGAAAAAAAAAAAAACCATTCAAGATGACGTAATCTAAGGGATCATTTGTTATGTTATCTCTTTAAATTCGAATAGAGCATAGCAAGTTATTTTTTACGTACGTCATTTCTACGTAAATTCTTTTATATATTTGCTTATATAGTGTTCTTATGTACCTTTAGGTTTTTACCCAATCAATGGACATTGATCACATCGATGGATTCTGAATTATTTCGCTGCTTACATTTACCAAACGAAACGTTCGTCACTTTAGCTAAAGGTAATACTGTATCAGTCATTAAACTAAATTCATTTTAATCATAGTAGAATTTTTACATAAATACGTAGATAATAAATCGTTGAATGAATAAGTTTATTTCTAACATTTTTTCTTATGTCAAATATAATATTAATGTATTCCAAATGATTTCATCCAAAAACTCATTTTATTAAAATTTCTTTCTTTTTTTTTTTTGAAAAATTTTCTCGTTAATATTTAATTCTAAATGAATTTTCGTAATTTTCCAGATAAATGGTTACGTTTTTATGTCCGAAAACAATCAGAATATGAATTAAAAAATACTATTCGTTTACCTGATAAAGAAGGACTTGTAACAGATTTAACTCGAAGTACGAGGGGTGATCAGTTAGCGTATACAGCTTCTAATGCATATCGTACATTTTCTTCCTTACTATTATTTTTCATTATTATTTAGTTAGATTAAATTTTTTTAATTCAACATTTTATTTAATTCATTATGTTGAATGTATAATATTTTATCATATTACTTAATTGATTTCATGAAAAATATGAAAAGTTCAGTATTATAGTTTACCACTCTTACATAAATCAAATTGATCATGACTCGAATTGGAATGTATTTCACACACCACCATTACCGCCAGTTAGAGGATGGTAAGTTGTTCTTACTTCTATTATATTTCTTACTAAAGGATCTATTTTTTTTTAATTTTAAATTATTTTATATTAATTTTTTTTTATACATGCAATTTCTATTAATAAGATATTGTTTTTCAAATTTTGAATTTGTAATTGTAGAGGAAAAAAAAATTTTCAGGGAAGCATACTTTAGCGTACGATATACATTAGATGATAAATATTTGATAGTTGGCGGAGCAGGTGGTTATGTAAGCATCATCGGTATCGATCGACCTTCTCATTATTCAGTGAAGTTTTTTTGTTTTGTTGAATTTTCCTCAGATGTTATATTTCAATGTGATGTGATATTAGAGACAATTGCAAACAAAACAAACAAATATTACATAAGTATTCGAAAATTTCAAGAAGTCATAAACGGTTTGGCTAAATTTGATGTGATACTGTGCTTTTGGTTACAATAAAATTCATGAATAAAAAGTATATGTATTAAAACTTAAAGAATGGAATACTTTTTTAGTTCTGTGCTCATCAAAATGACGTTAAAGCAATTCACTGCTCCAAAGCTGATCCACATCTTTTTTGTAGTGGAAGTAGTGATGGATGTTGTAAAGTAAGTGAATTCTTTTGTATCCAAAAAATATTTAATGAGTTTATGCATATATCCTGCTAAAATTATAGCAATCTGTTAGCGTATTTAAGATAATTCACGATACATAGTAGGATTAAAAGATGAATGAATATGCATCATTATAAAAAGTTTAATAGTGAAATATAATTTTTATAACATTCGTATTAAATTGTTCAACATCAAAATTAGAAATCTTTTGTGTAATAAATTATACTTTATTATATTAATAAATAGGAAATTTTTGATAACAAATGAAGCCGTAAAAATGATAGCTTAGTAATTTATAAAATGTTAAAATTAAAGCTTAAAGGTAGAATTCTATTGCATATCGAATTATTTTGATAGTCACTGATTAAATTAGATGTAATTATTTATTGATCCTAAATTGTTAGGTTTAGCTATGGGATGATCGTGCGCTTAATAATAATACTCCGCTTGCTATATCCGCTGGAAATGGATATAGTATAAGTCACATCGATGGTGACAGTTATAATAAATATATCGTAACAACTTCCATCGGAGGAACAATTGCTGTTTGGGATTTACGCCGATTTTCCGAGGTTTAAGAAATAATATTATATATAATTACACATGCAAAAGATATTTTAAATTGGAAACCAAATAAATTTACTGCATCTGGTAATAAGTTATGTAATTAATACTAACTTACATATAGTTTATGATTAGAAGATTTATTTACGTTTTCTCTTTTGGTTCATTTTCACTTCCTGCAGAATAATTCATTTCCAGAATCTCCCAATCAATGTACATCAAAAAGAAAGTCATGAAGAAATACCTCGTTTTAATACAGGTTATTAAGTGTAAATTTATTTTATTTATACAAAAAATTTATCATAGCTAGTCCTAAAGTTAAATTAGAGATTGGATAAAATGAAACAATTTAATAGCTAATTAGAGGAAGTAACACAATATTGACATTCATTATGCCTCTAATAAATTTCTTATATTATAAGATATATCATATTAATATGAATGCTAATGTTTAATTAAATTTCATTAGCACTAAAAATAAAAGGAGGAAATACGTTGGAAATTTTTTGGCAAGCCAAAATTTCACCAGAAAGAACTGGTCATCGGTATATTTATTGTGGTAGTGATAGCGGATGTGTATATGGTAAGTTTGCAACGATATTTTTAGCTATTCAATTTATTTAATTAAATTGTTTTCTCTTAATCATCTGTTTTAATATTGTTTTTTTTTTTTTCCTTTTTAGTTTTTGATATTGTATCGGGTCAAAGCACATATTCATTTCGAAAATGCTATATTGGAATACATGATTGTAGTTGGCATCCAACTGATAACGAAATTATTAGTGTATCGGTAAGATACAACATTGCTAATATGATTTTCACATTTATAGATAAGCAAAAATTCTTAATAAATGCGAAAAAGTTCATTAAGTTCTAAAGAAAGAAAAAATAAATAAATAAATATTTATTTATTTATTTAGCTACGTGGTGCAACAGCCAGATGGTATTATAAGGAAAAAGGCACATCTATTAATAGATGAATTGTTTTTATGCAAATTTTGAAATTTATCAGATTACTTTTGAATGTTATTTTTATTTATTTTCTCAGGTAATATTGCTGATTCCTTTATTTTCTCAGGTAATATCATCGATTCTTTCATTTTCTCAGGTAATACCATCGATTCTTTCATTGACAAATAGCTCATAGTCTTTATATTCCATTCCATGTATATGCTAATAATTTCAAAAAGATATTATTTATTGCTATTTTTCAAATTTCTTATATTTTATACATATTTCAAATGTATGATGAATTGTGTTCAGTATTGTAACATGTATGTGACATATCTTTGAATAATATACTTTATGCCTTTATTTCAGTTTCTATTGCAATTTTATTTTATTTATTTATTTATTTTTTTTTCATAAATGTCTAGAGCAAATTAGCTTTTAGTATGTAAATTGACAAAATATTTTCTAAATCCACTCGATTATGCTTATTTTTTTTTTCTCTCAATTTTTATATTTCACTGAATTTTTCTGATACGTTTTAATGTTTATTGTTTATTGAAAAATAATGCTAATACAATTATTATATGTAGGTGTAAATAGAGATATGAAATTGGAATTGATTTGATAGTAATTATTTTGCTATATTATGCTATTTTATATGAATATTGACTTTTTTTTTTCATTTCAAAATTTCATGTTTTTATCAGTTTCCTGATTCATTCTTGACTTCATTGTATTATAGAATCAATAAAAAAAAAAATTTTAAACTATCATTAACAAATACATTAAATTGTTGATATTATCAAAAGATATCATTTGAGATGTTTTATTTCAGCAATGCAATTAAAAATTTCACAAGCAATTTAAATTTGAAAATGTGATAAGAATGAAAGTACAATTAAAATGATAACATTTCTCTTCGAAGATCAATTTCTGAGAGAGAGAGGGAGGGAGGGAGGGAGAGAGAGAAACTGTTGCAAAAGATAGTCCTTTAGGCTTTAACATTAGTGATCAATCATTTTATCAATTGTTGTTCAATGACGAAAGAAACTAATGGCATTAGTTTTAGTTACATTTAAAAATGCTTAAAGATGCAAAATGCATTCCTTTTGATTATCAAAATGTATTCCATTCTCAGAAATGATTTAAAATGATAAAAATTAAAACGTATGATGCAATTTTATTGATTGTAAAATGCAAGAAATCAAAAATCAGAAAAATGATGAAAATATGAAACTAACATTTCTATCAAATTAGCAACAATATCTTTTTTTTTTGCTAAAAATATCATTCATTGATCTATTCAAATTGTTGAATTAATTGATATATCGAATAAATTAAAATACAACATTAGTGGGAGGGAATTTCATGCAAAAATATTTTCAATTTGTCAAAAAATTTCAACAACAATCATATCAGTAAATGATAATATATTTAAAATAGTTCAGGAGAAGAAGAAAAAAACAAATATGTAAAACAATATAAAAAGGAAAAACAAATAATAAATTGAGCAAATTGATTTTAGTGTTTTTAAATTGAGAAAAACTCAATAATTTAAGAGTAATTTGTGAATTTCAAATGAAAATTCAAATTCACAAATAACAGTGAAATAAAATATCAAATTCAGCAATTAGCAATCAATAAGACATTAAACAATTATCCCATTTATGAAAATAAAACATTGACTAAACAAATTTTTTTAGCTAATAAATTTCACATTTCAGAATAATTTCAAATTTGAAATTTATTTCAGCTAAAAATTTGAAATCGAATTTTAACATTCAGCTTGAAGATGTAATAATTTGTGTAATTGTATAAAAACAAAAAGTAAATGATATGAAAATTTGTTAATTTCAATCTGAAAGAGAAAAAAAAGTGAATCAAATATTTTTCGTTTTTTTTTTTTTGTAAAATAATTTCGAAACTTTTTTTGATAACATATTAATTCACAAATATACATAACAAATTTGTGATATTTATCAAATAAAAGGACAATAAAAGGAGCGACGACACAATGTTACAAACAAAAAGAGCAAAGATCAATAAGCAAAGATCAATAAGCAAAGATCAATGAGCAAAGATCAATAGCTGGAAGTATTTTGATTTAATTCAAATAAATTCAAAGTATGCGATATTGGAGAAACAAAAAAATATTGAAATTGAATAAGCTATAAGCAACCATCCATATTTTTAGCATCATACCATACTACTCCCATAGCATTTCGCTAAATAAAAATATGAAATTATTATTAATAAACTAATTATTTAATAATTAAATTTGTTTCAATTGAAAAGAACATTATTATAAAAATAATCAATCAAAAATTATAATTATTGATGAAAAAAAAAAGAAAAACTATTGATAAAATAAATAATTCAAAATGAATTTCAATTATCAATAGATGAAAATAATAATACTGAAATTGTCAGCTGACTTGTTAAAAAGAAATTTTGTTTAGTTTGCAAAATTTTTTCGATTAATTTTTACTTTTTGAATGAACAAATTGCACAAAATGAATGGAATGAAAAGAAAATGTAAAAATGAAAATAATTTATTAATTTTTTTTAAATAAATTAAATATTCGGAATTATTTATTTATCAGATATATCTTAAATGATTTTTGCTGAATATATGCAATTGCATTATGTTATTGGAATTATTTTATTTTATTGTTATTATTATATTTTCAATTTATTCAACCATTTGTACATTAACATATATTAATCATATTTGAAGTAGGTAAATTTTTCATTTTACATACAGTTTAATGAAATGAATAAACTCTCTAAAAGTTATCTAAATTTAATTTTCAAATTTTAAACTCTTACTTTGAAATTAATCAAATTTAGTTTTAGCATTAACAAATAAAATGAAAAAAAAGAAAATTTCTTATTAATTTATTCAACAATAAGTTAAAATTGTAAAAATACTGTCACATATTTAAAAATAAAATACTATTCAATTTCTAATATCAATAAGAGCAATTCGTTATTTGTAAAAACAATTTGATAATTTATTAACAAGTACTGATTATTTTCCTTATTCTCATTCTTGTATCATTATTATTATTATTATTATTATTATTATTATTATTATTATTATTATTATTATTATTATTATTATTATTATTATTATTATTATTATTATTATTATTATTATCATTATCACTATTATTATCAGTTATTTGTTATCAGTTACTATTATTAATTTTACTCAACTAATTGATCTTACCGACACACTAACGATTTCATTATCATTTGGATGCCAACTGCAGTCGTACACTTCACATTCATCCCTAGTGAATTCTTTAACAATTTCACCCGTTACAATATCAAAAACTATAAAATCACAGTCTTAATAAATATTAGATTTATTTTTAGTATTTGTAAATTTTGTTTTTGTTTTTGTTTGTTTGTTTTTTCAAATAAATAAACATAATGAAATAAATTTGAAACGTACTACTAATAGTTCCAATATTGCTACCACAATAAATAAAGCGATGTCCAGTTCGTCTTGGTGAAAATTTAACTCGCCAGAATATTGCCGATAGATTTTGTTTTTTAATTGTCATTGCTAATAGTACAATATTTATTTATGTATATTTTATTAATTTAATAGAAAAAAAAAACTTCAAGAATATATACAAAAAATTTTTTGAAAAAAAAAATTAAAAATATATTCAGAAATAAGAATAAATTGAATGAGAATATTGAAATTTCTTTATTAAAATTAAAATTATTTTTATTGGCGTAAAGTAAATTTGCATATGAATAAATGATAACCTTTATAAAAAGTTGGAATATCACCCCATAAATTTGGTTCTTGGTGCTTTTGTTTTATGTCAAATGAAATAACCTAGAAATAAAATTACTTAATAAAATATATGAAATGCATTTAGGAAAAATGTAAAGAGCCTTATCAAAAAAAATTCATAATTTAATTAGCTAAATTTTTTTATTTTAATAATTTAATAAATAAATAAATAACATATTGTTATAAAAGATATTCACTATAAATTAGCAAAATCATTTAATAAATTTTACTTTTCATTTAATAATAATAATAATAAATTTTGCTAAATAAATGAATTTTATAAATTTATAATTATTTTAAAATATTTCAACTTTATGTTTTTTCCCGTCCTAAAACTCATCGAAGCATTAATTTTATGCCAAAATGCTATCGTTACCTTTTATTTAAAAATTAATATTTCAATGCTTTAACACAAATGATATCATTTAAATGATACCTCAGAAAATTGTCTTACATCCAAAATATCAAATTTTACGCCACCAGAAGTTATCACAATGTATCTATCATAAGTGTCACAATCAATATGTGTAATTGCATAATCATTTGTTAAGGAACTTGCAAGTGGAATAGATTTATTCGGTGTACGACAATCCCACATCTAAATATAATATTATATTTAATAATTAATAACTATTAACTATTATAATTCCATTTTAAAAACTACCAGTAAATAATAAAATAATATATTCACGTGAATAAGTTTTTGCTAACTTTTAATAAACAACATGTTTTTTAAAAAAAAAAACATAAATAAACATTTAAAAAATATTTATATTAAAAAACATAAATAAACAAATAGTTTCATTATAAATTATCGCTTATGTAGTAATGATTATTTGATAAATTTTATGCAACAAAAAGAAATTTCAACTAATTACTTAATAAAGATAAAAACTAATTTACCTTACAAAAACCATCACCACAACCGCTATAAAAAAGATTTGGATTAGCTTTAGAGCAATGAATTGCTTTAACATCATTTTCATGACCATCAAACTGAAATCATAAAGTTAATTATTACTAATTTCATTGGGATTATTTTTAGTTATTTATTTATTTATTTATTTTTTTAATTCAAAAATTATAAATGTTAAAATTAAATATCAAATATCATACAATGCTGCTAATGAATGAATGAATGAATGATGAGAAAATTAAAATAAAATGAATGAAATATACTGAGTAATGAGTATGTTCATCTACACCCACAATACTTATACGACCACCTGCTCTTCCAATTACTAGATTTTGATCATCCATTGTATAGCAAATGGAAAAAAATGCATCTCTAAAAATTTTTAAATTTTTAACATTTAAAATTTTAACAATTAGAAATAAAATAAATGAATTAAAATCACAAAATTTGAATTTTTTGCTAAGAATAAAAAAATTCTATCATTTTTTTTTTTCAAAATTTTCAAAATCAGTTAAATGTTGTTTATCAAAAACAAAAAAAAAAAAAAAAAAACATGAAGCATAGCTAGCTAACCGTCTTCTAGGTATTCTTTCTTGGTTTGGCTGAAATCTATTCCATTGCAATAATCCATCATTAATTTGATCAATAGAACAATGATAAGCTACAACAAATAAATCTATCAAATATTTTTGCTTAAATTAAATTTAATTTTCAAGAAAAGTTTAAATTTAAAAAAAAATTAAGAAATTATCTTTTTCATTTTATTCACATATATTACAATTTAAATTAACCAAATCGTATTCCATTGTTATCTGTTCACACGAGAAGCAATGATAAACTGATAAAATGAATTTAATCAATCATAAAATTGATAAATGTAATATTATCATTATCAAATTGAAATAAGCAACACTAAGAAAAGATATTACCACTTGTATCAGATGTATGACCAAGTAGACCACTTCTTGAACTACGAGCTAAATTATTGAATGTTAAATTGAAATTAATGATAAACTTATCAGAAAGAATAAACATTATGAATAATGATAATAATGATGATAATAATGATAATAAAAATGATACCATATGCATTAGAAGTTGTATATGCCAATTGATCACCTTTTGTGCTACGAGCAAAATCAGTAATAAATCCATTATTTGGGATACCAATTTGATCAACAAATTGATAACGTGGTGGTTGACGAATATAAAAGCGTAAACTTTTATCTGAAACAATTTGTTGATAAAATTTTTTGAGGTAAAAATTTTTAAAATTTTCATTTTCAACTACTAACATTTTCAAATTTCAGAGTATTTTCTCTTAATCTTTGTGAGAGTAAAAATTTAATAAAAATTTTTACCTTGACCTATAGTAACAAATCTTTCATTTGGCAAATGTATACAACGAAATAATCCCGAATCAAGCTTATCAATATCTGTCCATTTATTAGGAAGAAATCTAAAATTAAAAATTGATAGCAATGAAATTTTAAAATTGTTCATAATTGAAAATTATATAGCAATGTAGTAATAAATAAATATATCATAGTATTTATTAGTAACATTTTTTCTTTTTATAATTTTACTTAAATTAAAATTTACATTAACAGCTACTAACCTATTGACAAAATTAGCTTTTTCACTTAGTGTAAAAGCATTGGATTTATTTGCAAGAGATGATGTATACAAATTTATTAGCTTTTCCGAAGCACTGGATGTATTTGGCATAAGCGATGCGTGATGACTTATTGACCTTACACGTTTACCTATTTCACGGTTTTTTATCATTCGTCCAATAAATATCTTTGATAAGGAAGCACCAGATGAAGTAGCTGCCCATTGCTTTAAATCTGACATTTTCTGAAAAAAAATTTTTGAAAGATTTAAAAAAAAATTAGTCACTTCAGTTTCACTTGGATTATTCCTTTGCCATTTAATTATTTCTTCTTACTGGATTTGTTTTCTTGGCTTAGTCAATATTGTTGATTGTTCGAGATCGATTGATTGTAATCGAGCCAATGTTCAGCTAAGAATTAGCAACCTGTTAGCATTATTCATTATTTAACTTAACTTTAACGAATCACAACAAAATAACTTAACGATACTAATGATATGATCAAAAGAATTATACCGAAATTTACCTTAACGCTACCGAAAAATTACACCAAAACGACACTTTCTTAATGTCTAGAAAATTCAAATTGATAAAAAGAGCAAAAATTGTTGTGTCAAATATGTATGACTATAAGATGAGCAGATCAAATGAATGATGAAAATTCGATCATTTAGAAAACAATGGAATGGATTCAATAAGTCGATCTTTCTATCTTCTGCCCAATTCTTTAGTTTTTTTTCCCTCTTTTGGCAATTTTGCCCTTTGGCTAATTGATTTTTATTACTGAGATAATATTCTACAAAATTTATTACTAATAATTACTTCCATAAATTAGTATGTTTTGTTGGAATCAATAATGAATAAAGCGACATTAGGTGACAATCTATTGCAATTAATTATCGAATAAGAATTGAATAAAATCTTACTAAAAAGTAATTCAAACAGATCAATCGATCTCTATCAAACAATTTCTTCAGCTTTTGTGAAAACTTATATTTTTGATGGATTACTTTTTTATCATTTATGAATAGTACTATTTGTAAAATTGGAAAGTACCGGAAAAATCATCTTATTCAGTAGTACCTAGAAATTGCTTAAATTAAAAAAAAAAATTGCTTCGTGCATTGATAACTAATCAGTGATAAAAAATTAATTAAGACATTCTTTGCTAGAATATCTGATTGTTTCTGAAGAATATTTGTGGAAGGATCAATGTACAGCAATGATAAGTTGCTAAGAATTAAAAAGTAAATATTATCAAACATTTGTTTATTACTTTAGTTTTGTTTGAAAGAAGGAAAATATATTCTAAGCTTAATTATGCTTACACCTAGCTAACATTGTGCTTAATATTAGTTTTTAAAATACGCTTTGTGTTATTAATAATTTAATACAAATGTTTGTAATTTGAAAATAGCTAAATTTCTGTAAAATATTTTGTTTGTAATTTTGTAATTTTATTCCGACAAATATTTTTGTTATTTTCAAAGGTTAAATTATTACCATCCATTTTAACCTTTGAAGCTTAAATTTATGCTCACTTTTTGTTAAGTTTAATTCTTTAATTCTTTTTTAGCTCATCAAACTTTTGCATATTACTTCTCCTTTCATTGCAGAAAATAAAATTGCATTATTACTTTTTAGCAATACTTAAGTTAACTGAAAAATTCGTTACTTATTGAACAATTATTCCACTTCTCACCTACCTGTATGCATCACAACTTTTTGTCGTATGAACAGTTTCATTCGAAAGTTATAAAAACTTAGTTGCAAAATTATACGATATTTTGGAGTAGAAATTACGATGCGGTAATAATTCCACAATTTCTAATATAATATTTCTTTTTTTTTAAAAAAATAGAGGTAAAAGAAAAAATATTAAGTAACAAACTAATAGAAGAAAAAAAAATCCTCCTTACTTTTTTTGCTTTTGAGTTTTGACTTTTATTTTTAAATTTTGTCAAAATTTTAAAAAATTTTTAATTTCTTTTTTAAATTATATCAATTAATTGTTCAGCTAATATAGAAAAGTTGCTTTTTTCAAAATTTTCTTCATTAAAAAGTGCTCTTTTCTATCTAACAATAATTCTTTATTTAAAGTTGAATTTTATTTTTTTTTTTTCATGCAAATATTATTACAATTTGAAATACCGTTGTGAAAAAAGGTAAGTACCATCTACTGAATATTGCTTTACTGATAACCTGTATTGCAGAATATAATATCTTAAATTTTTTTAGATAATGAAAAGAAAAATAACAAATCAATTTTTTAAAAGTTATCGCTTCAGTCCATCTTGAATGGTATACCTTTGTACTCTAAAGAAAAAGATGAGTAATCTTAGATTTAAATATCTATTTTCTTTTGAAATTAATCAGGTATTAATGATTAATGACATTGTGATAATATGTGAAAAGTTTTTGTAAAAGCCTTCGTCGTATATGATAAAGTTTCTTACAAAAACTCGATGAGTAATCACAGAAACAATGAAAAAAGCAATAAACCGATTCAATATTAATGAAAAAGGAGTACAGTTTATGTTTCATACTGTCACCAGCATTTTTCATTTTGAAATGCAATTTTGAATTTTAAAAATACACTTCAAATGTATTGAAATTTTCTAACCAAAAAATTTATTATATATTCTTGATTTGGAAATTTAATCAATTCAACTGTCTGAACTATAAGTATATTTATGTGAAATCAAGGTGTGGAACGTTTATCGAGAACTACAAACAATGCATTTTTGTTGTTTTGATAATTTTATTTCCGATTCAACGAACAGTTTTATTTCAAACATTCCAATAGCGCTTGTCAGTTGTCAACAGCGCACATTCAGCAAGATTTGGTGGAAAAATATGAAAGAAATACGATAAATGAGTTTATGCAAATTAATGTTTTGAATACTTTTATGTGCACTCTTTTCGATTTTTTAGGATATTATGCAATTTTAAGATTTTTCTATAAGAGTTTCTATGAGGCGAAACTTTCTTCAGCAATGTATTATTTATGTACTTACAACAACTTTTGCAAATCTGAAATATTTTATGTTTTATATCATACATCATTCAATGTAAAAGGATCAGCTAAAGTTTATTTCGATTTTTTACAAACGAAATATCCACTTAATTTTTTGGTGTGAAATGAAATAATTAAAATACAAAAGATTAATGCTGTTGATAACTATAACAACAATGAACAGTTTTAGCAATAAATTATACTGATTATATTTTGGTCATTTAAAAATTTTACGACGATTTTGACTTCAATTTAAATGACTTCACCGTCCATCATGATATAATCTGAGTCAACAGGTGAAAAATCAATTAACTTTTACAGAAAACTTATGGAATAAATTAATATTTTACATGCGAACAAATTGTAAATAACGTTTGAGTAAAGGAAATATCAAATGCATTCTGCTTCTAACTACTAGTAAATTTTACTTTTTTACTTTCCATGAAATTTCAAATTTTGCTTTGAGGTTAAAATTTGGACAAAGAAATGCGTGTATATATTTTTTCGACCGTATTTCATCAATTTGATTTATGTGCGAACTTTCAGAATAAATAAGTGCTTGTTGCGGTATGGTTATGGTGACGTCAGATTTCTGAAGTGCAAGCTAATTACTAAGTAATTAACGTTTTTGTGCCTTATGAAATTTAAACAAATTTCTGTGAATTGAAATCTTGGAACAAAAAAAAGAAGAATGTACAGTATTTAGTAAACATCCATTAGCGCAACTAATCTGCAAAAAAAGAAGGTAAAAAAAATAAATTAAATTAAGAATTAAGTAAAATAAAAATAAGATAAAACGATGGTAGTAAAATGTACTTGCAGATAGTTAAGCATCATTATTCCTAGCTCTATTTTCCTAATTAGAGAAAAGAAGAGAAAAGCATTTGTAAGAAGTGCAAGTAATGCAATTTTGGATAGATCAATATTATGAAATTAAGATATATCACTAATTACAAATAAAAAACTTACTTGTTTTCGGTAATTTTTATTTTAAAAACATCTCATATAAATTTGAATTAATGATTGTTTTCCTTTTTAGCCTTTTCATCACCACTACAAATAAGATAGAAAGATTTGTGTACGATACAAATTATTTGCATAAAATAGCCATGCAAATGATCACAAATTAATGATAGCAGCTTAACAGCATATCCATTTACGTACAGCTAACAAAAAGAAATCCCAGTAACTGAAATTTAAAAATTTTGAATAGCTATTAAATTATATATATATATACATTTATATTTCCACCTTCCCAGTACTCTACTGAAGATCATGATTTTGCATGGGACGGAAAGTTGCATACGTTACATTTATATATATTCAAAACTATATTATTATTTGTACTAAATAAATTGACATAAACTGAGAAGGAAAGAAGAAATATGAATGCACAGAATATATTCCTCATAATTACAATAATATTAAATGGTAAAGTAGTAATTAACAATGGCAATGATTAAGAAATGGCAAATTATTTGATTAACAAATAGCAAATGATTAAGAAGTAATTCAAATTGCTTTCAGCAATATGTATTTGATCTAAGAAATGAAAAAATGAAACAATATTAGTCTTAAAAAATTGGTAATAACAGACTTATCAAAATAACCGAAATAAGCAATTGAAATCCAGGACGAATCATTTTCGAGTGCGCTGATCATAAACGAAATTTATTTTTGAAATTGTTCGGAGCTTTCCAAAGTCAAATTTAACAATGTTTGAACATTACTTCTCATATGCCGGAACACAGATCAATAAAAATCAACAATAAATAAAAGAAAAGGTTATAAATGCTCTAAACATGAGTGATTCTATTCTCGATCTATCCCCAAAAGAATACTGAAGAAGAGAGAGAGAGAAAAAAGTGCTCTTCTTTTGTATAGAAGAGTACTCATATAGATTACTTAGTCACGTAGATAGATTACTTGCTCATACAGTCATGTTACTTAACAGTCTGTGTAGATAATGTTAGACCTCCCACAAGTAATAGCTCTCTATAACTACCAAACCGAGTGCTGGAATCTTCGATGTATTTACATATTTGCACTTAACCTTTTTCCTATGATATTTATTTCTGAAATATCTATTATTGTTATTATTTTGCTTAATTAATGAACTTTGGCTAATTATGGCTTATTTCAGATTTCGTTGAATAATGTTAGCTGCGAATGAAGAAGGCCCGGCAATGCCGGGAATATTCGATGTTCTCCGTTATTTGGAGAACGAACCTGTAATGCAACACACATTACAGGAATTTATTAATATGACGCAGCACGTAAGTATTTCATTTTTCTTTTTATTTATTCATTCGTTTTTCATAAATTGATTTATGGTCTTCATTCTTGGTGTTGGTACTTCATTATGGTAGAAGAAAATTATAAGAAATGTTACTAAACTTATGTTGCGAATACTAAATTAATGAAAAAATAATCATTGTACGGTTTTCAGCTGAATGCCCGCTTGACTGAGGCAGAAAGAAGACTGGCGGAATATGAAGGGCAAAATGCCCAACAAGAAATGGAAGTAGAAAAAATGGAGGAGGGGCCGGCACCTCAGGAGCCGGGATTCAATATAGAGGAAGCAGAGTGGGCACCTCTGCCGGAGAGTGATGATGAAGCCGAATGGCTAGCAGAGGCAGAGTGGGCTCCTCTGCCCGAAGACAGCGAGGAAAATCCTGAGGTGTCGGTGGCACCGGTGGAATCAAGTGGTGATAACGAACCGGAAGAAACAGTCCGAGAGATCGTCCTGTAAGTTTTAATTTAATGCATTGGAAAGAAATTAAAACAAACAATGAATTTTGCTAATCACATGAAACGGATAAATCTAGCTAAATTTAAATTTATTTCAGGAGATCAAGGACGATTAAGGTCCCGGTTCCAGCCACAAATACAACGTTGGCTGCGGCGACACCGGAAGCATTCCGTCCCGCAGATCTAGGGGACCTTCCGGAACAGCTCCGGAGAGAGCTGGAAATGCCGCAGGCAGAGCAGTACACGGTGCTTCGAGCGGGGGAACTATCAGCATCGGTAAATTTTTAATTTTAGCATCGAAGTAAATCATGTATCTGTATTTTGGTTTGCTTCATTTTCAATGAATTCCAAGACAAAATATCCATAGATAATGTCTATAATAAATTTTTTTTTTTTTTTTTGATTTTAAAATAATATTTTTCTATTTTCAGTGTGCGGCATCTGCAACAGGCAGTTTGGCACGCTGAAAGGGTGGCGCATCCATGCTTCGAGGATGCATAAGCAGAATGGTAAGTACTTTACAGCAATTTCCCTAGTTATACATTTGGCTTGGTCTAAAAAATACCAAATTCATTAACTATACATATTATAGGTTTCTGCGCCCGTTGTGGGCATTATCTTCTGCTGCCACCCGACTTTACGGCTGAGCAGAAGACTGCAGCCATGGAACTGCATGCCCTTGACTGGTGCCCAAGGGCATGCGCAGCGGTAATGAAAGAACGACAGGTGAAACGCCGCCGTTTGAATCTTGTGGGGAGAGAAGAGGACACCCACCACCTCTTCGTTCCAGGTGAGAAATGCTTGAAAAATTCATGAAGTAAAAATCAGAAAGTTTGAAAAAAAGAAACTTTGAGTGATTATAGAAAACAAACATTCAACTCATAACAAACAAAGAATTTTCTAATCACTGAATCGCTCTTTCAGGCCAATAACATCTTTTGGCATTCCCCATGCGGTCACCTGTCGCTGCCTGTTCCAACAAGTTCTCCACCCTCCAGCCAACGAAGCCAGTCAAGCGGGTTAGCAGGTTTTAAATGAAATAAAAAATGAAAAAAAAACAAAGAAAATAAAAAAAAAATGAAAATAAAATAACATAAAAAAGAATAAAAAAATAAAAATAAAAAAAAATAAAAAAAATAACAAAAAACAAAAATAAAAAAAAAATAAACAAAAATTAAAAAACAAAAAAAAATTTAAAAAAAAAGAAAAACCAAAAAAAAAGGTTTTTTTACAGTTTTTTTTCAACTAATATTGTTTGTGGTAGCGGTTGAATTCTAAATGTGCTTAATAAGAAAGTGGGGATTTGCAAATTTTTGGAAGACCAATTTAGATAGTATATATTATCACTATTAGTTGGAAAGATCGGGACTTGAAAAATAAGTTTTTCATTCCATTTCGAATTCAACTGCTTACTTTTAATTTTAAATTTTTGTGGCCCTCATTTGGGCAAATAACTTGTTGAATGTTTTTTATATGCTTTAATTATTTTATACCTCTTTTTACTAATATTTTTTTTTTTTTTTTTTTTTAATTATATGCTTTTTTTAATTATAACTAATTATATGCTTTAATTAATTTTATACCTCTTTTTACTAATATTTTTTTTGTTTTTTGTTAAAGTTTAATGTTCAATGTTCTCATAATATATTTTGTTTTTTTATATTTTACTTTACAATTTTTGATGTTTGTTTGTTTATTTGTTTGTTTTTTTTAACAGTTTTTTTTTAACTACGATTTATTAACATTTGTTGTTGGTGAAGTATTTTTATTTTAAATGTGGATATGAATCTAAATATAGGTATATTGTTATCATTGATGACTTCTTGCCAAAATTTGAAATTTTCTAAGGGGATTTTTTGCTTTAATTTGTATTCATTTCCCATTTTTTAGTTTTTTTAATTTCAATGGTGCATGGGAAACTAGCATTAGTTGAAATCCTAATATTCCAAGTAGCTTATTATTCACATTATTTTATTTTTACATCCATTTTGATTTTAAAACTTTTTCATGTTGTTTAGATTTATTTTTTGCTGGAGATTTTTTCATAGATAGGGTACCAACTCGTGTTCTAATTAAGTTATTAATATTTCAACTTCAATTGTAGTTTGATTGTTTAATAACATTTTTGTTATTTAGTTGCAATTCCATCGACTGTGCTTATTTAATATTTATGTAATCTTATTTATTTAGTTTTTTTTTTTTTTTTTTTTTTTTTGTGCTCATTTTTTTACACGTGTTACGAGTTGGTACCCAATTTGTAACTAAGTAGTATTTATTGTTTCCTATTTATTTCCTTGGCACTAAGTGAATGGAAATTAAGCATAATTTTAAGTAAGGAACCATTTCTCTGAGCTAAAATTTCTTCAATGAAATTTTAAACTTGCAAATTTTAAACTCACTAAACTTTTTAATATTCTTGATTTTGAAGTTCTTGAATGAGTTGTTATGTTTTTGAATTTTCAGATTAATTTCAAAATATTTCAAAAAAATGAACTTGTTGTTTTAACTTTTTAATTTTTGAATAATGGCGTTTTTGAAATTTTGGTTTTTTTTTTTCAATTTAAAATTTTCTTTGTCTTCAATTATCCTTTTGAGCCTTTTTTTAAGCTTTGCTTTTTTAATATTTTGCACCAATTAATTTTAAATAATTTTCGCTCTTTTTTCAAATTTTGATTTCGTTTTCATTTTTCATTTTCCGAATTATCCCGATCATTCTGTTGTAGGAATATTGTATAATTTTTTTCATTTTTGAGCTTTTCATTCTGTTTTAAAAATTTTTTTAGGATTTTTCAATTTTTCTTTTTTTATCTTTTTTGTAGACAAATTTTCAATTTTCTGGATTTTTTGGTCGCAAGTTTTCTGGTTTTATATTTTATTAATTGCATGTTTTTGAATTAAATTGTAACTTTGAGTCCTTCTTTCTTGCATTTCTGGACATTTAATCTCACTAACTGCATGCCTTTTGATAGATTCACCCATTTCTTTATAGCATTTTTGACTAATATATACTTACTTCATATCCGCATGCATTTCAGTATTTTTTAATTGTTGCATGTTGTTCGTTAACTTCACTTACACTATTCTCAAATTATATTTGAAGTGCTTGCACTAGATAAATTCGGTTTCCTTTTTCTTTATTCTTTCTGCATTTTTGAGTTGCCTGTACTAAATGCATCTTGCAGTTTAGTATTTATAATTATTGCATGAATTTTAGGTGTTTCATGTAACTGCATGCCTTTGCTCGTTACTTATTGCTAATGCATAAATTTTCTGTGATTTAACTAACTGCATGAATTTTATAGGGTTTTACTAACTGCATGCTATTGTTTGTTACTTATTACTAATGTATAAATTTTATGTAATTTAACTAACTGCATGCTGTTGTTTGTTACTTATTACTAATGTATAAATTTTATGTAATTTAACTAACTGCATGAATTTTATACGGTTTGACTAACTGCATGCTATTGTTTGTCACTTATTACTAATGTATAAATTTTATGCAATTTAACTAACTGCATGAATTTTATAGGGTTTGACTAACTGCATGCTATTGTTTGTCACTTATTACTAATGTATAAATTTTATGTAATTTAACTAACTGCATGAATTTTATACGGTTTGACTAACTGCATGCTATTGTTTGTCACTTATTACTAATGTATAAATTTTATGCAATTTAACTAACTGCATGAATTTTATAGGGTTTGACTAACTGCATGCTATTGTTTGTCACTTATTACTAATGTATAAATTTTATGCAATTTAACTAACTGCATGAATTTTATAGGGTTTGACTAACTGCATGCTATTGTTTGTCACTTATTACTAATGTATAAATTTTATGTAATTTAACTAACTGCATGCTGTTGTTTGTTACTTATTACTAATGTATAAATTTTATGTAATTTAACTAACTGCATGAATTTTATACGGTTTGACTAACTGCATGCTATTGTTTGTTACTTATTACTAATGTATAAATTTTATGTAATTTAACTAACTGCATGCTACTGTTTGTTACTTATTACTAATGTATAAATTTTATGTAATTTAACTAACTGCATGCTGTTGTTTGTTACTTATTACTAATGTATAAATTTTATGTAATTTAACTAACTGCATGCTGTTGTTTGTTACTTATTACTAATGTATAAATTTTATGTAATTTAACTAACTGCATGAATTTTATAGGGTTTGACTAACTGCATGCTATTGTTTGTTACTTATTACTAATGTATAAATTTTATGTAATTTAACTAACTGCATGCTGTTGTTTGTTACTTATTACTAATGTATAAATTTTATGTAATTTAACTAACTGCATGAATTTTATAGGGTTTGACTAACTGCATGCTATTGTTTGTCACTTATTACTAATGTATAAATTTTATGTAATTTAACTAACTGCATGCTGTTGTTTGTTACTTATTACTAATGTATAAATTTTATGTAATTTAACTAACTGCATGAATTTTATACGGTTTGACTAACTGCATGCTATTGTTTGTCACTTATTACTAATGTATAAATTTTATGCAATTTAACTAACTGCATGAATTTTATAGGGTTTGACTAACTGCATGCTATTGTTTGTCACTTATTACTAATGTATAAATTTTATGTAATTTAACTAACTGCATGAATTTTATACGGTTTGACTAACTGCATGCTATTGTTTGTCACTTATTACTAATGTATAAATTTTATGCAATTTAACTAACTGCATGAATTTTATAGGGTTTGACTAACTGCATGCTATTGTTTGTCACTTATTACTAATGTATAAATTTTATGTAATTTAACTAACTGCATGCTGTTGTTTGTTACTTATTACTAATGTATAAATTTTATGTAATTTAACTAACTGCATGAATTTTATACGGTTTGACTAACTGCATGCTATTGTTTGTCACTTATTACTAATGTATAAATTTTATGTAATTTAACTAACTGCATGAATTTTATACGGTTTGACTAACTGCATGCTATTGTTTGTTACTTATTACTAATGTATAAATTTTATGTAATTTAACTAACTGCATGCTACTGTTTGTTACTTATTACTAATGTATAAATTTTATGTAATTTAACTAACTGCATGCTGTTGTTTGTTACTTATTACTAATGTATAAATTTTATGTAATTTAACTAACTGCATGCTGTTGTTTGTTACTTATTACTAATGTATAAATTTTATGTAATTTAACTAACTGCATGAATTTTATAGGGTTTGACTAACTGCATGCTATTGTTTGTTACTTATTACTAATGTATAAATTTTATGTAATTTAACTAACTGCATGCTGTTGTTTGTTACTTATTACTAATGTATAAATTTTATGTAATTTAACTAACTGCATGAATTTTATAGGGTTTGACTAACTGCATGCTATTGTTTGTTACTTATTACTAATGTATAAATTTTATGTAATTTAACTAACTGCATGAATTTTATAGGGTTTGACTAACTGCATGCTACTGTTTGTCACTTATTACTAATGTATAAATTTTATGTAATTTAACTAACTGCATGAATTTTATAGGGTTTGACTAACTGCATGCTATTGTTTGTTACTTATTACTAATGTATAAATTTTATGTAATTTAACTAACTGCATGAATTTTATACGGTTTGACTAACTGCATGCTATTGTTTGTTACTTATTACTAATGTATAAATTTTATGTAATTTAACTAACTGCATGAATTTTATAGGGTTTGACTAACTGCATGCTATTGTTTGTTACTTATTACTAATGTATAAATTTTATGTAATTTAACTAACTGCATGAATTTTATACGGTTTGACTAACTGCATGCTATTGTTTGTCACTTATTACTAATATATAAATTTTATGTAATTTAACTAATTGCATGCTTTTGTTTAGTATTTCTTATTAATGCATGTATTTTATGTCCTTTAACTAATTTTGTTCTTCATTTTGTTTCATATTGTTATTGCATGCATTTTGCGTGTTCGTATTCTCTCGTCAGTTACTTATTCTTATTGCATGAATTTTACGTACTTCAGCTAGCTGAAGCTTGTTTTAGATTAACTGTTCGTGTATTTCAGTTTCAATTAGTTCATTTTAATGGTATGTTCAATGGTATGAGTAAGAAAAGAAAATCTGCAGAATGCAAGAAATCGGCGTGCATTTTCAGTTGTGAGTTTACCATGAACTTTTCTGAGGTCTTTGCATTTTCAAACTAGTTGCGATGCTTTTAGAATTTGGAGTTTTTGCTTTAATTTCTTGAATTTACAAATTAATATCATTAAATATGTGTTTTACAACTACTAGTAATTACTGTTATCATATCGGCTTCAATTTTATTGATATTTGAAATAAAAACATTTAAATAATATGAAGAAACGGATCTAATCAATTTTCACTTACGTCATTTTGGTATTTTTGCTACTTTAAAATCAATTTTTACCATTTTTCTTATGCAAATGTTCACCACTAACTAATGGATTTAGATCTATCGTAAGCAAAATTTGTGATTTTGTTCTTTTTTTTTTTTGAATTAAATGTAAATCAGTTATATAAAACTAATGGATTTGCAGTACAATTTTCATTTTCCATCAATGTTTGCACCGAGAAAAATAGTATTTATTTAGTGAAGATATTTGCATGTTTTTCTGTAAAAATTCTTGCGAAATTCAAATTGATAAAATTTTCTTTTTTTTTATTATTTATTAGAACAACTTTTTCAATAAAATAAATAAAACTTTCTTTGCAAAATTTAACTAAAATATTAAAAAAAAGCGTTTGATTTATTTTCATTGTTATCATTCTTCTGTAGCAAAAAAGTAGTTCTTCTCGAAGAGGCAAAACTTGCTTAGTAGAAATGAAAATACGAAGATATTTGTTAATTTTTTATGTGAACTAAAAAAAAATAAGTCATATTATTTTTGTATTTGACCGGAAAAGGCTGCCATACCTGTTAAGGTATTTTGATTAAACCTATTTGGTATGATGAGCAAAAAAACGAAATCTTTTAATGTTGCTCAAGAAATGGTTTTATTTTTAGATTTTTTTTTTTAAAAAAAATTGGAATTGTTTTTCATTTTTTTTTTCTTTCGATATTTCTCAAAAAACAATTTATTTTATTTTCTTAATTTTATCTTTTTTTTTTTAAAAAAAAGCTTCAGTTTAAAGGGACAATGTATATTTAGTGAATTTTTACAACTGCTACGTAATAGTAGCTATTATGTAAATCATTGTTTTATTAAATTTAACCACTGTGCATCTTTTCGGTACTAATTTTTTCTATCGCAGTATGAATATCGGAATCGGATTCGTGTTTTTCATTCTTTTTTCCTTCGATGATACTTTATGTTTTCTATCGTCCTTTGATGTTTCTTTTATCAATGATTCTGATTTATCCACACTTATTTGACTTTCTGTATCTGTTTTTAGAAGAACATCAAATTTTAGCTCTTTTTTTTCTCAAGAAAATTTTCTAAACTTTTGTAAACTAAGAAGTAACTGGCAGATTCAATTTAATTACATCTACAAATTTCAGTTAAATATTAAAAAAAGCTTTGTTTAGTAGCTAAAAGTAAAAGATTTAGAATAAGCATACGTTGAGATAATGATGAAGTTAATCCTGCCGTTGGAACTGAATTACTACTGTTCATCTAAAATATTAAATTTAAATAAAGAGTCAACTTGAAAGATTGAAGTAGTGAAAATTATTTTTATCATAAAATTAACAAAAATAATTTTAAATATTATAAAATTTATTTTCATTTTAAAAATACTACAATATTTTTTTTTTTGAAATTATTAATAAAATTTTCTCAGAAATATGAAAATTTTTGAAATATTATTTTGTACTTGTCAAAGATATGAAAAATTTTACTTCGTATTTGTCTAAAAATCGTGACACAAAACGTTTTAGAAGGCCCAGATCATCCATTAGAGGATAATACTTATTAAATTCATCACCGTAAACCATTGGAAGCTGTTGAAGCTTAGTCAACGAATCTTCTAAGTGAGCCATTTTTGTTAATAACTGAAAGAAGTAAAAAAAAAATCTATTTTATATTATACTGTTAAGAATTAATAAAATCAAATCTAAAAATTGGCAAAGTAATTTAATAATATTCACAGATCAAAAATAGTCAAACGATCATTAAAAAAATCGGTATTGAAATAAAAATGAGTTTAGTAATTGATAAATTTAAAAAAGAAATGCTCTAAATTATCAGTTATAAATATTTATATATTATTTATATATTATAATATATAAATATATATATTATATGTATATAATATAACCATAATTAATAAACTAAATAATGAATTCGTAAAGAAAAATTTGATATTAATCGTAAATTCGTAAAAAAGAAAAACTTTATGAAAGTTCACAATGTGTAATTATGCGTTATTATCGGGAAAGTGTGGGCATGTAGTTATAAGTTATTAAAGTTATTATAGATAATAATTTAATTGCTTCGTTTAATTACAAACTTTATTTCTCTTTGTATTCTTATTTTTAATTTCTTTTTTTAAAAAAAAGATATATTTTTTAAAAAATCAATTTAAAATTTGATTTTAAGTTTAATTGATTCTTAGTAGTCAGAAAGCTCAAACAGGGAAATTATTAAGTTCAAAATGAAAAAATTTAGATGAAACAGAAGCAACTATTAAGTCAGAAGAAATTTAAAAATAATAATTTTAAAATAGCTCATGCATACATCTTCACGTTTCTCTTTCGTCCAAACAACAAAATCCTTTGTCAACAGTTTCGCTTCTTCTTCAAATTTTTTCTCAGCCAGGACAATTTGATGGAATTGATTCGTTAACAAATGTCGTTTATACATTGTTACTTTAATTGCTGTCACATAGTCGATGATATCAGCAATCGGAAACTACAAGTATTTATTTTTTTAATTTCTTTTTTGCTTGAAATTATTGGAATTTTTGAAGAATTTAGGTTTTATCGAGACAAAAAAAATATTTTTACTGTGAGAAATACTTTGACAGTTATTTTGAACTGAATTGCTACGGAATAAAAATAACAAAATTAGATGACCCATTGTTTTTGTTTTTTTTTTTCTTAAACGTTCAAATGGTATATCAATTTTAAGAACAATTACCGCTAATCAGTCATTATCAGTTATCATTTTTTTTCATGTAAATTTCCTAAAAAATCAACTTACTTAATTATGCAAATTATTATTTTATTCCTTATTACATATCATTTATCTATTGCATTTATTTATGTGTTTGTCACTTTGTTTATTTGCTTATTTACTTGTAGACAAAGACGAGTAATAATTACCGCAAAATTTAGGAATTCAAATGTTAAAAACATTCACTGAACTGCTTTTAGAAATTTGATTTAATATTGTATTTAACAATAACGAACTAATTTCTTTCTTATCATATCATATCATTTACATTAAACTTTTCCATGCACATAAAAGTTTGAAAAAATTATTTCTAAGCAAATTGCAAAAACCTCAATGCCAATTTCCTCTGCTTCTACATCTTCTTTAATGCGCATTTCAATGTTAACTAAACGTTGTTCTAATTGCATCAATTCGATATCAATTTGCTCAAATTGATTTGAATCACTGTATCCTAGTGATAAATCAGTTGTTGATGAAGATGTATCTAAAAATTTTGTGATATATTTATCATCTGCTCTCTATAATTTCATTTTTTCAGTCTTCATTTGCATTTTCTTTTTTTTTTTCCAAAATTTGTAAATATCTTATTAATATTGAAATGATATAAATTAATGATAACAATGATATTTCTTTTAGAAACATCAAATTGAAAAAAAAAAAAAGAAAACATGAATTGGTCATATAAATTTTTAGCTATACTTCTATCACTGATAATATGTATAGTATCTTTCATTTAATTAAAGATATAATCATTAAATCATATTTAACAGTTAAAATTTTTTTTTTCAAAATACTTTTTTTTTTATTTTAAAAAAGAATGAAAGAAAAGGAAAAAGCTAAACTTGATGGTGCATTTTTCTCATTTTTACTTGGCGCAAAAGATTCTTCCATAGTAGAAGTGTTACTACGCACAACGTTTGTTTCACGTGAATAACTTTCCGGTATCAAATGTGTTTTAGCTTCTAATATCTTCAATTGTGCATTTACATCGGAAATTAATTGATCGAATCGTTTCATAAACTGTTTTGGTACAATTTCTTCACGTTGTTTGCTTACCTGTTTATTACTACATTCTTACATTTTTTGAAATGAAACAAAAGGATGGAAGAATGTTTCTAAGGTTAGATATTTCTTAATATTTTCAATTAGTAATATTCATATGAGAAATGAAATGATTAACTGATTTCAATTTGATAACTGATAAGAAATATAAACTAATTTTGAATAAATAACCAATGGAAAGCAATTTTAATTTCGTTCTCCTATTGTAGAATATATCCATAGTGCTAAATAAATGGTATAAATAGAATATTAGTATGTTAATAAAAGATAAGTAAGTTATCGAACATAGGTAAGTTAATGGGACATACAGAAATAAAATCATTCAGGAAATCATTTTCATTTCTTCCATATGTTTTATAAAAATTTCTTTCTTGTTGTTCAATTTTTGCCAAAGTTTCATTTGCAGCTCGTATAGCCTTCTCAAGATTATCATCTTAATTTTTTTAAAGTAAAAAAAAAAAAAAATTTTCCAAAAATTGCTAATATTGAAAAAGAGAAAGGAACCAATCATATTTATCTTGAGCTGTCAAAATTATTTCAAATTTTGCTTCGTCTAAATTTAATTTACATTAGTTGTTGATAAGAGATTTTACATCCTAATATTTAACTTTTCTTTTTTTTTATTGATATATGAAGAAACAAACGAAAATTAGTTCGTTACTTTTAAAAATTGAAAATTTGCTACACTTAGAACATCAATTCTTTAATTAATCGATTTCATTATTAGTCATTTTTAATTAAAATCAAACTTTTGGAGGAAGCAAATGCACATACCATCTTGAACACTCATTCTCGACATGTCGAAATGAACCTACCACTCACTTTAATGCTGTATAAAAACAATTCTTGAAGAATTATTCATATTTTTAATGAAGTTTTGTAAGAAGCTAAAAATTGTTGTAAATGAAAGTTCCGTTATATTTGCATAATTTTTTTTTTTTTAGCAGTGTTTGATTTCTCCAATAATAATGAGAAAACAAAAAATGTTATAGTGTTTATTAATCGATAAATATATTACGTTTATTACTTCTAAATAATTTTATTTACAATGATTAATGAAAGAATAAATCAATAAACTTGAAACGGAAAAGTTAATAATTTTACAAAGAACAAATATTTAATCAATTCAATGCTACTAATTTTTTGGAATAAGTTCAAAATTCTGCGTTAGCCAAACAGAAAGTTAGTTTAAACGAGAATAACACAACAAATAATTTTAGCTAAGAAATACAACAAAAAAAAGCATCAGCTAAATTCTTATGACACAATGGAATATTTAATATGTAATTATCAGATTAAAATTACTAAATAAGATATCACATAACGTATATTACTGGGATTATGTATGATAAGATCCTCAAATAAATTAAATTCGATTCTTAACGATTTCAAAATCAAACTTTTCACCTAAAACATCCATAGAACTAAAATCAAAAACTACAATTCCATAATGTATTTTACTTAAATAATAATTTAATTCAAGTAAATGTTCATAGGATCAGCTAAAGAATAATCAGATAGATATTTGACTGAAACTTCAAATTTAACTGCAATACGGATCAGATGTTTACGTTTCCGCTTCCACTTCTAATTCTCCTATTTCATCCTGTTGTTCTTCCATATCCAAAATTTCAGTCTGATTTCGTGCTAATAAAAGCTTCGATGTAAGTGCATCAATTGCTTCCCATAAGCCAATACCGCTCATTGCGTTGCACTGATGAATCACCACTGTTCGTCCTATAAGAATTTTTTTTGTTTTTTAGAAATAATAAATAATTAAGTGTAAGAACTGCAATGCCATTATTAAATCATTCGATATTTAGCTTGCACCAAATGCCAAATGTCTATATATCATTCCATGTTTATCTTCAATTTTTTTAACTTAAATAATATCAATCACAATAGAAACAAAACTGAACCACAATAGAGAGATCATAAATAAAAGTTTCTAAAAGGCTCATATTAACAAAATTCCATTTAATCTATCGCTTTTCTAGGCTAACTTTCTCGATCATACAGTCTTTCAGCTACTCAAGTAAAATGGATTAGTATAACTTTTTTTTGCTTAAAGAAAAGAAATATATCCTCTTTTATTTCAACTTTACTCTACTATTATCACTTCCAGATAAAGTAAAGATTTCTAGAAGACATTTCATTAGAAGTAATTCTCTTCTCTTCCTCTTTTGCAAGCAATTCATTATTTATTATCATCAAACTTACCAGCACTGAATCGATTGATATTCATAACAAGTTGATCAATAGCAGCCGAACTAACTATACAATGTTGACTGACAGTTGTTGGCTGTCGTCTATTCAAGATAACCAGAAAACATGCATCAGCAAGTTCTCGTTCAGCAAATATTTTTGCTAATTCATTTTGGGCTTCTCCAAAGCGACTCGGACATGAACTATCGATAACAAATACAAGAGCTATAAATTACCTTTTATTCATTCCAGAATGAAATAATACTTATATAACATACTACTTATATCATCAAAAAAAAAAATTTTTTTATTGTAATATCAAAAATTACAGGAAGAAAAGTTCCAATAAATAGCAATGTCTCTACTATCCTTTTTTTCATTTCAAAAGATAAGAATAACAGGTAAGCAAGTAAAATTTTTTTTTAAAAAAAAAACAGAAATAATAAAATTATAGTTCTTTGTGTATTTTTTGATATGCAGAATATACTTTTATATTGATCAAATAATTTTAAGTTCACTAGAAAAAAATGAAAGTTCTACTTCTATAAACTGAAAAAGGTACCAATACTATCTAGAATAATCACTATAATTCCTTGTGATTAGCAACTTAAACAAACATCTTTGTATTGTTAGAAAAAATTTTCCAAATAATTACGATAATATGGTTAAAAAAACGTATAGGTCAAGCAATTAAATGACTAAAACAATTAGTTATCTCTACTTTCCAAACATTCGTATTCTTGATGCTACGTTTTTTTTTTTTTCAAATTCTGCCTAAAAAATTTAATTTTATAACAAACCTTGAGTATTCATAAAATAATGTTTCCAAAGACGACGCAACTTCGGTACACCACCAACATCCCACATTGTAAGTTTGAAATTCTTATATTGTATCGTTTCTACATTAAATCCAACTGTCGTTGTCGATTGCCTACATTCATCACTCTAAAAAAGGGGAAAAAAGTTTACTTCATTTTTTTTTTTTCACATGAAACTCAATTAAATGAAAGAATATACATCTAGCTTAAAGTAACACAATATTTGTTTGCCTTTAATTTGTAAAGTATTGTTGTTTTTCCAGCTCCATCCAAACCAAGAATAACCAAACGAATGTCAACATTTGAACCCATATGAATTCGATTATCAGCTGTAAATGAAAACGGAATTCTCGTATCCAGCGAAAGTCCACCTTAAATGGAAATAATCAAAGGAGAGAATTCAAAATTTTTCCTAATTTAAATTCAATTAAAAAAAATAACTTGAAACTAATCACCTATACAACTCATAATTCACTACAACAAATCCAAAAAACTAATAAATTAAAAGCTGATAAATCGCTTTATAAAGAGTCCCCTTTTTAGGTTATCGATAATCAATCATGCAACAAATATCTGTATTTAATATTTACTTGGAGCAGAAGCAATATCACTTTGATGAGTACGTACAGCATCGAGCATTTTAATAAGATCAGCTTGTTGTTCAATCAGTCGAGCATCATCCATTTCTGAGCTTTCTTGTAACTGTGCTGATACCGCTGTAACCTAAACGTAATCTTTTGTAACCTTTTTTTTTTTTTTTTTTATTTTTATTTTTTTTTTGCACTATTCTTACAAAAAATGGCAATTTTAAGGATGAACAAAGCTTCACTGCAACATTTTCAATTTCAACTTACTTATACAACTGACTTAACTGGTAAAATATAAGGTGAACAAACAAATGAAACTTCACTGAAACATCAACAAGAAAAAACAAAAAACTGTAGGAACAACCTAATAATATTATTATTAACTCAATAGAACTATTCTGTATAATCCAATTCTCGTTTCTTTATGTTCCGGCTTCATTCATTTCTCTTGCTATCAATCGAATAAACAAACCTGTGAAGTAATGAAAGCTAGCTCCTGCTGATGCTGTCGGAGAGCTTCAATTCGATCAGCAACATGTGCATCCAATCGTGCCATAGCTGTCTGCTCTTGAAGCTCAAGTTCTTCACGCAATCGTCGGAAATGAGCTTCAACTTGTCGTCGTGCAGTCATATGAGACCCTTCATTCATTTCCATTATCTCAGCTACTGTCCTAAAGTAATTGATATTGCTAACTTACAATCTAGCAGAATTATACTATCATTGTTCTCTAAATTATTTATTATCATTGCTTTAAAAGTTTAAAAATTCAGTTATTCACAAATAAAACTCAACGATAAATAAATTACATCTAATGAGAACTCACTGTGTCACTCGAATATTCCATCCATTGAGATCACTAATAAAACTTCGGAAATCTGAAAGAGCTTCACGAACTCGTTCTCTTAATTCAGCAGCTTCAACTTCTAGAAGAGAATGTCGATGATTCCGATGACGTCCATAATCACGACATAACAAACACATCAAACGATTATTTTCCAAACATTCCACTTCCTGCAAATTTCTCAATTTATATGGTATGTGATAATCTTAATTATTTGCAATCATTGTAAACATATACACATACGTATACATTTGTTTGTAAAAAAAAATATCAAGCTATTTTTACTATATATTTACCATATACAATAATATTGATATTATTTCATGAACGGTGATAAATTCTTAATAATTCATAATAAGCATAGGCTTATTAGCATGACTCATATGTGTTATCAAATTGATAGAAGTATCTTTCTTTACAGTTAATCATTAAAAAAAACGAAACAACCTGACAAACGAATTCGATTGCATATGCTGAATGATACGGACACATTGTTCGGGAAAGTGGTTTTTCACTTACGGGTACACGACAATGTTTCGAAAGCACCCGTCCTGTATGTGTTTTTCTCGAACACTCACCACACATATTACTTTCGCAAACTATGCAATAAAATATAGCAGTATGTTTCGGATCCTCATCACATGGTATACCCAGTAAGATATCTTTCATATATTCCGGCGGTGGTACTTCATCTACCTAAAAAGTTTAGATATTAAAATATAAGTGAAACAAGGAGAAAAATTAGGAGAACGATTTTTTAGATATCGCAATAAATCAAATTTAAAAATGTAGATTTCCTTAATTTATGAAATCAAAATATGTTTCAAACACTGAGCGAAGTTGATTTCATCTTATTCAAAAGGTATACATATATACCTTTTGAATAAGATAAGATTAATTTTTCTGTTTTTACAATAGATATGTTATTTTCCATCAGTTATCAAATATGCTTATTACTGCTAATTAAGCTTGTTCAAGTAAACTATTTAATTTAAATTAACACCAAGTATTTAAAGTATTATCCGGTTGGCTGTAATTAAGTAGATGTTATGGGCATACATTTTGAGTGAAACTAACTATATTAATTGGATGAGCTGTATCAATTTATTACCATATCATCAAGAAATAAAGATGAAGAAAATTTTCCAGAAAAAAATTAACATATAACCACATCTTTTCAAATATTTAATGGATTTATAGTATATTAAAAACTTACAAGCAATGGTGAAATTCGGCCTGCAAATTTCTTATGCCGTTCAATTATTTCAATAAGCGCAAAATTTTTTTTCAACGAAAGCACACACGGTTCAGCAAGCAATGTAACTGTTCGATCAAACGGGCAAATAA